TAATTTTGAAATTGTTGAGGTTCTCGCGTTTGACCCCTAGCGTTCCGAGTCACCGATTGCCTGGTGTGTCAACTGCAATTTATTAAGCTTCGTAGTCCTGGGTACCGACAGCTGCGCTGCACTATGCAAAGAAGATGCAGTTTACTACACCCGCGGTCGGTCGTATACCTAATCAATTCCAGAGTCACGAAAGTGCATCACCGATATCTCCGTCTTTGTTATTGGATCGGTGGGTTAGGATTGCCACAGCTTAAACCCCCGACTTGGACAACAGGCTGCTCATGAGATTTCGATACAATTGTTCCCTCGTTGTCTTCCAGAAGGCTTCCCAGCGGTTTGGTATAAAGTTGCTTTTGTGGAGCGTGATGTCCTGTTTGGAAGCTGGTGCTCCGTGGGTCGGACGGGAGGATTTTCCGTTGCCGACGTCCCAACGGACCGAGCGAGGTTTAGCTTGACCTCTTCGGAGCCAAGTCGAGATGAACTTTGGATCGGGTTCCCGGAAGACCACCCTGTCCCTCCCGGTATGGCCCACGCGAGGAGCAGGCTAGCGGGTCATGTGAGCCAGTTTTGAGTCGGTTTCGAACTCAAAACCGTAACGGCCCTTACGAGTCTGGTTTCGTTTGGTTTCTTACGCGTGACGCAGGACTCTTTGACCAAGACCCTTTTTGGGGCACTCACATTGCCGCTCCATTGTTTGCCCCTCGCTATCGCAACGGAATGTCGCGGAGGCGCACTTGCGTGGCATTCCTTCCAATGTTGACCACGAGAAGACGGCTGAGACCTTGTCCAAGCTGCGAGACATCATGGACGTGTGTTTCCATATGCGGCGGAAGTTGATCCCTGTCCCGACGTCGCCCGAACCAAGATTCGACGTTCGAGACTCGTGCACATCCATCGATCGACGGCATCAACGCTGCGTGAACGCCATACGGGCCAATGAGCAACGCGACTATCAGTGTCCGCAGCACTCCGCCCACATAAAACATTTTGATTCCATCTCCTGAGACTTTCTCCATTTCAGTTCTGGGACAGTCGAAGCAGCAAACTTAAAACTTTACGTGGTGTTGTGAGTCCAGCGGCGGCTATCTCGTCTTTCTACGAGGCTGACACCCTTTGGTCCCGACGGGCTTTTTTTCTGGTCCGACGACAGCTCAAGCGAATGCCGCTCATCTTGCATGCATAACCGTTTTTGCATACATCGTGCATACTGGGCCGCAATGTTACGAACACTTTGCATCATTCGACCCCACTAGTTAGCAAAAGTAATGACCTGTCGGCATTTTCAGCCATTTTACCACTTGAGCTCACAATATTGGACTCTTGAAAATGGGGTCCAGATTCAGGTGCCCACGCCGCTTAAGAAGATTGGAAATCCGTCCTATCCTTGACTTGTGGTACCGAGCTTGCCCTATTGGTTGAATCATTCAAATTTCCGACGAGTTGCGCCAGTTAAGGCAGTTTGCCGCGTGCGTGCCTAATGGGTAGTTTACAACGGAATGTCCCCCTGTCGTCAGAGCACGGGCCTTGAGATGCGCATCGACTGTCTGGTGAACCGGCAAATTAAAGATAGGCGTTCTATATCAAGCCTGGGGTCAATACGAACCTTCTTTATGCGCTGGCTAATCTTCGATACCCTCGAGGTTACACAGTACAGCGGCTGAAAGTGCAAACGACTGACTGGATTTCACAAACCGGCGGCAAAGTCACAAAACCTTCCGCTGGTTCGTGGAACCCATTTGCACCGGGTTTGCGGATCTCTCTAACTTTTTGATTGCGATTTTGGATATTTGCTCTGTCGATGGGGCTATCTTCCCGTACAATCGTGGTCCATGGTAGATTTGAAGTTCGGGATGAACAGGGAATTGGGTTGGCCAAGTGGTTGGTGGTCACAAATTCTTGCATTTTGATAGTGCCGTATCCTCTATTGGGGGGTCGGCTATGCCGTCGCTCGTCAAGTGATTTGACATCATCATGCAGCTAGGACTTCCAATAGCCGCGCTTCCAAAAAGATGCTCCCTCACATGATGTACGGGATCAGATGATGTCGAAGCGTTCTGCTTATCTCGCCAACAACACTCTTGCTGGATACTCAATCCCGGAAAAGATGTTTTTCTATGTATCACAAATAAGGCATGTCGTGCTCAGAAGCGGCTATTGTCTAGCATAGTGCCAACACCCGGATCTCCAACCAGAAACCTAAGGGTAGCAAATGCCTCCCTAAGGTGTGGGAAGGGTGACATTAGAGATATGCCGCCAACCCTCTGCTTGTGCTTAGCTTCCCTTTCTTCCTTTCATGCAAGTTTCAACTGGTGAGTCCAATTTCCCGTCTTACTATCTCTCAATACACTTCTAGAAACCCGGGTCGAGAGCGAATAAGTAGCTAAGCGAATAGAAGCTACAGTTCTTTTTTCAACACGTCAAAACTTCAAATTCATATGCAAATACCCTCTACCACCATTCGAAATCCAACCGGAGCATGGACTGGATGATAACATTGGACCTCTCAATAAGGATACGGGCACGGCTTCGGGCTCTTTCTTACCCGGTTCATCAAAGCCAGTTTGGAGAACTTAAAATGGCTAACTTTGGCAACGCTCGCTGATCCATATCAATGCCATAATCTGCAAGGGTTTGGAGTGCATCAGGACAAGCAATGGCGGAATTCGATATTGAAAGTGATTCGCCTGCTAAGGGGCCAAAGCCACGGCCCACATGCATGCTAGATGATTTGAGTCAGCTCAAAGGAATCTACTTTTCGAGACCGCTATGGAGTTCGGCATGGGCTTCCAGTGTATGAGAAAAATACCTGAGACAGATGGTTGACTCGCGGTCCGATTCCCTCTGTACTGGAGTTGGTCCAGCGCCACGACAAGGTTGTAGCTTGAGCACAGACCCAAATTCATTACATAATCAACAATTTCACGGACCTTAGATATTCCGCTCCGGCAGTATTTTTGAAATTTGGCCCAAGATTGAGAGGAACCTCAGAGAAAACCAGAGGGTTACTGCGTATGGGCACCTAGTTATTCGTTATCATGGCATCCGTTGCGAATTCAACTCTAATGCCCTTTCTTTACCCTTGCCTATTTAATGATACAGCCAAGTATACGCTTGGTGCCGCGCTCAAATTCCAAAAAAAACTCAACTCTTCCCTCCGAGTCCGGCATACCCGTTATGTTAAACATGCCTCTTCGTTGACGAGCTCCCAGACCTCGAAGAACGCCCCGGAGGCGAGTCGTCTTAACCCTTCGCCATCGGACTACGGTCGGTTCATTTTCCAAGATCGGTGCATTCTCAGGCTACGTACAGGTTCTGGCGGGAGTGGATGCGTCTCGTTTCTTCGGGAGAAATACATATCAGAAGGACCCGCGAACGGTGGTGATGGAGGGAGCGGAGGGAGCATCTATATCCAAGCCATTGATGGGCAGACTAGCCTTCACAAGCTTGCAAGAAGGGGACTGATATATGCTGGGCGTGGACGAAACGGAAAGGGGAAACTCCAGGAGGCCAGCGGGGCAACGACGTACTCTTACAGGTTCCTGTTGGGACTGTGGTTCGCGAGATTGGGAGGTACGATCCTGTGGCGAAAAAGGAACATGAACTACGCTATCTCAAGAGACAGATGCCCGAGCAGGAGGCACTCCGCGCTATGTCTTCAAAGCGGGAGCAGTGGGTTCTTTACCCAGGAGCACAGGCATCCGATTTTTTGACGACGGAGTTTCCTATCCTACAGCCTCCCCAGCGTATGAATATCGCGGCAACAGAACCTCCATCTCCTATACACCTCGACCTGTCCCAGCCGATGGACAAACCGATGTTGCTTGCTGCTGGTGCGGTTGGTGGCTACGGTAATCCGCATTTCGTGTCAAGATCAAATCCACGACCAATATTCGCTACGAGAGGAGAAGATGGCATGTCGTTGGAATTGGAATTAGAGCTGAAACTACTTGCAGATGTTGGGCTAGTAGGCTTACCGAATGCTGGAAAAAGCACCCTCCTTCGGTCAATCACCAATAGCCGCGCCAGAATAGGTAACTGGGCGTTTACAACACTCTCACCAAATATTGGGACTGTTGTTCTAGATAACCTCACTGGGCGCCCATTCACCCAGTCCAAGCCGGGAGCAAAACCGCGCTCCCGTTTTACGATCGCTGATATACCCGGTCTAGTCGAAGACGCCCATCTCAACAAAGGCCTAGGGTTGGGATTCCTTCGACACATTGAACGAGCGGGAATTCTTGCGTTTGTTGTGGACTTGAGTGCCGGCGACGCCGTACAGGCTCTCAAAGGCCTATGGCGGGAGCTTGATGAATACCAGGTTCTTCGAGAACAGCAACTCAACATGGAGACAGAGATCAGGTCCCCAAATCCAGCCTTCAATAGTAGCTGCGACGAGCCACGGGTCATTGACGCATATTCGGATGATCTTGATTCAGACTTTGCAGCCCCAATACAGCGAACGAACCTCCCAGAACTCGAGGTTCAGCCCGTGTACACGAAGCCCTGGTTTGTCATCGGCACAAAGGCTGACTTGCCAGAAACCCAGGAGAACTTTGCGTCTCTGCGTGCGTATCTCGCTGATGTTGAGCGGGGCCTTGTGGAACATCCTGCTCGTCGCCAAAACGCCTGGCGGGAACGCATATATTCCATACCTACCAGCGCCATCAATGCCGCAGGCGTAAATAGCATCCCTCAAACAGTCGTTCAGTTGTTGGACGGGCATCACTTAGGATAGAATTCCGCTTATACTTGTAGTTTAGCGACGAAAGTTTTGAGCATTAATTCTCTGTCCTCCGTAAATAGCATAAACTTGTTGAGCCTCATCGAAGATCTTGTGTTCGGGCAGAGACTGTCCAATTACTTCCGCGAGAGCTCGCAGGTTCCACTGCCGCAAATCAGAGAGGTCCAAAAGAGCCGGTGCGGAGAAGCCAACACGAAGCAACGAAGACACGATCCTTGTCGCTGCCACCGCATTTCTCTCCAAGCCTTGCGACGTTGTCAACAGGTCCGTCCTACAATGACCTTGGGGAGAGAAATCAACCTATCTCTACTGTCCTCACCTTTGCATTTCCCGCGAGAGGGTTGACCGTGTCTACGATTTCACTGCCACCCCTGCACGCAAGCCCTTGATTCGAAGGCGTCAATTGGTCCGAATTCGAGGCCCTGAACGAATCGTCTCCGTCACAGAAGGCAGAGTTATCAAGTTGAATCCCGTGTGAAGAGGCAACAGAACTGTCCTGTCTCAGACACAGAGCACCTCCTTCTCGAGAATATACCCAAGTGCGATAGGTAGTCCTTGGTTTGGTGGGTGAACGAGATTCCGGTCAAACAGCAAGGTTCGTATCCCCAGAGCACAATAATAACCGAAGAGCCTTTCGGCATCGAGTGCTATGACGATCCGCAAGTTGACCTCACAAGACCGCGAGGCCCTCACATAAAGCCGTGGTTCTGTTATTTTGACATCCGTGTGCTTTTCTATGAACAACATGGTGATGCCGATCCTGAGCTATGCTGAACTCCGCGACGACCCAATCGTCCACGTCCCCGGCGCGCAGCCATAGTGGCACAAAGCGTCCATACCCTTCCGACGAGACAGATGCCGTCCGCCCATATAAAAATTCCCTTCCTCGCATTGATCGCCCATCCCAGAAGTCCCCGGTAGACTCGTCACCTGTACGAGACCGGGAAGAGAGGCCTCCGCGGAACTCTTCGACCATATTCCCCTCGTTTCGCAGCGTGTCCGCATGCCATCGGTGCCGCAATCGCAAAAATCGGTGCGATCAGCAGCTTCCGAGTTGCCACTTGTGTGAGAAGGCTGGAGTGCCCTGCATTGGATTTGACCCGATAACGAAGCGAGAGATTCCAAGGAGCTATGTTTACTTCCTTGAATCACGGGTGAATTACTTGGAAAAGCTGCTGGGCGACAATGGAATTGAATTCGCACCTCCCAAGGCTCACGAAGGAGAAACGAAAGCCAAGGCCACCGCGTACTCACCCAGTGCAGATTCTACGGCTGGTGAGGATTCTCAATTGAGCAAGCGATCCGGATCGCTCGAGTCTCCCGGTGTAGCCAGAAGCGGGACCGACATTGAAATCAAAAATGAAGAAAAGCAAGCTGAAAGTCAAAGGAATGCTGTGCACGCCAACGTCCAACAAGAGGCTGCCTCTGACCATAAGCGGCGAACACCGGATTCCAATAGAGGCTTGGACAATTTGGTTTCGAAAATCGGCATGGTTCCAGTCCACGGCGCGTCTGATTCGAGGTATCTCGGTTCCACCTCGGGCATCTCGTTTGCTCGCGTGGTCTTTGCAGCTGTAAGAAGTTCAGTTTCATCCAGTACATCGGAGCGTGGGGCGATGCGTCCGAGTTCACGTCGGGCCTCTACTGCTCCTGGTAATCATGCAAATTCAATGAGAGACTCGTTTTTTGGGCTGCAAGCCAGACCGTCTATGAATCGCGCGCCGTTCCCTGATTGCGCGCTGGCTCGTCGCCTTGCGAATCTTTATTTCGAGCATGCAAACCCTCAGGCTCCAATCCTTCACAGAGTGGAGTTCATGGAACTGTTTGAGCGTGTTTACTCTACGGAAGAGAAAGCTCGGTCCTCTCGCGACCTCTATACTCTAAATATCGTCTGTGCAATTGGCGCGGGCATTATTTATGATGTCAAAAGAGATGAGGTTTCTTCTCGTAACGAGGATCGTCCCGATAATGACACGCCATCTTCACTAAACTCTGAGGGGCAAGACCTTCCTTCCGGCCATCAGTACCAGCCGGAGGAATACCACGCTTCCGCCATTTTACATCTTGAGTCATGTTTCAGCTCGCCTTCAGCTGCGGATGGATTCATTGGCGGCCTAGAGGAGCTCCAGGCCGTCTTATTACTAGCGAGCTTCGCACTTCTTCGACCTGTGGCTCCGGGTTTATGGTATATAGTAGGAGTAGCAGTACGGCTGGCCATTGACTTGGGTTTGCATCATGAAGATGGCACTGGTCTTGACTTTGTCGACGAAAACTTAACATCGCACCAATTACATCGACGGGAAAGCGTGAAAAGCGGGAAGGGTCAGGCAAGTGAAGCGTCCTTGGGTAAGCATAGCATCCACGCACGAGAACGCGGACGGCGCGAATGGATACGAGATCTTCGCCGTCGTTTGTGGTGGAGCGCATATTCCTTCGACCGCCTAGTCAGCACCTGTGTTGGGCGACCGTTTGGAATTTCGGACGAAGTCATCACGACAGAGTTCCCTTCCCTCCTCGACGACAAATATATCACCAAAGCAGGCTTTTTAACCCCTCCCCCCGGCGAAAATGCAAGCTATAAGCAAGTCTCATACCACTACTTTAAATTCCGTTTACTGCAGTCTGAAATTCAGCAGGTACTTCAATATCAGCAAGCTAACATGGCACGGAGGTCAAGCACCAACCGGAATAATGTGTCGTCCACAAAGATGGACCTTCCTTCACCCTTTCTTCAAAAGTTTGGCTCTTTTCGCTCATGGAGACAAGATGTTCATCGTAGGTTGGATGAGTGGATGCAATCTGCACCTTCTTCCGAGATAATTGGTGTCAAGTTTTCCGTCGAGTTCTTGGAACTCAACTATTGGCAAGCATTAACTATGCTTTATAGACAGAGTCTAGTGGTTCCCGCGCCATTGGCTGCCGATCTCAACCAGGCAGAGCATGTTATGAGCCCGTCCCTGGCGAACATTGAAGACAGCGAGGATGAAGACGACATATATGCCAAGGTTGCCGAAGCAGGTCAGAGGACGTTGAGATTATATCGTCAATTGCATCGTGTCCGGCTTGTAAATTATACGTACCTTGCAACACACCATCTGTTCATGGCAGGTACGTTCTGAAACTATCCTTGGATGTATGATACGATGGCGATGCTCACAAGACAGGCATATCATTCCTCTATGCAATATGGCATTCACCGGTGGTTCGAAGTCGCCTCGTAAGTGACTAGATTTTTACCTCCTGTTTCTTTACCTGTGTTGACTTGGCTTCAGACTCTCGATGATGTCGACTTTACTGTTTTAGGTGCCATTTCAGTTTTGGAAGACTTGATGGAAAAGTGCCCTCCTGCCGAAGCATGTCGAGATGTGTTTGAGCGAATGAGCAAGGCTACGGTTCAAATGTGTTTGTCCACGACTGGCTTCGGCCTATCATCCCGCACAGGGGAAGATCCCTCTATTATCGCAGGGAAGAGTGGTCAAGGTCCTAAACGACAAGGTGATGCACCTCGAATCCCAACAGGTCTACGTGTCGAGCCCGACACATCTCCAAACATTCAATCTACGGTTACGGCGCCGATACCGTGCGAAGCAAGAGGCCCCGACTATCACGATGTTAATCATGATCCCCGCCTTCTGCCCAATTCTTCTTTTCCTTCGAACAGCATGAGTCCAACAGAATATCCTAGAAACTATCATGATCAACACACATCGAAGCAGTTTTTGCCACAACCTCCACCTATAACAGACAGGGCCTCCTTTAATACCATGCAACAACATCTTTACACTAACAGTTCTACTTCCGCCCATCACCAACAAGAATCCGCTTATGTTAACCCTTTTACAACGCAATCCCCTCTGCACGCGTATAGCGCTCCTCCCCAAACCTATCTACCAGACCTCGACTTTCTTAATTTCGATACCCGTTTGGACCACGAACAACTATACGCCGCATCAACTGGCATCGACCTTGACACGTTCCCTATATCCTCGCCTTTTGGAATTGGTGGCGGCTCGTCGGACACGGGTGTTGATTTGGGCTTTGGCATGACTGTTGGCTTGCAGCACGACTGGAGTGAAGGCGCTGGGTATGGCCTCTTTGGTGAATTCTTCTTTGGAAATGGCGCTGCGGGGAACTAAGCTCTTGGGGATGCCAATGGAAACGCGAAATGAAGTTATGTCGGAATGAATAATCTTTGTTTGGATCTAGTCGCATATTTTAGATGCAAGTAACTTAATGTACCTCAGCGAATGTTGCTAACGATTTTGGTCAATGATAAAAAATATCTATATATCATCAATCCTTTTGGGATTACTAGGAAGCAAGGCTTGAAGATTTTTTGTGACCTGGATACCGGATTCGTTTGCTCTTTCTTCTCCTGATACTGAGTTGGTACTCCTACTGCAATGGTGCCATTCCGGTTACCAGGTGCTGTTTATAGCAGGCAGATGTTGGGGGATTGGGGCCTATGACTGTTTCAAATCCGTTTCGATATCTCAAGAGAGTAGGAGGTTGGTTATGTGGTTAAACTCTAGCAGTGCATACTTCTGAATATCATAGGGAAATTTTGAGTCGCGATAAACGCTTGACCAAGGAGGCCACCAGAACATTGCGACTTGGAAAAATATGGAAAGAAGATATCAATTCGTTATTGAGTAAGACTTGATCTTTAGATATTAAAGGTGCTTTCCATAACTTGTTTGAAATTTTCCCAATCATTGGCAATTTTCCGCAGGGCAGGAACGGCGCGGTTTCATGGGCGATCGTTGTCAGAAAAAGGGCTCAACGCGCATGATGGATAGAGCAGCAACCACAAGACCGAAATGGATGAGATGCATATTGGAAGAAGCATCAGTAAGTGGGCTACAAGATGAAAAAAATAAAAATTGCAAAAAGTTCACATTGAAGTACCCGCGTGCCAGGGCAGTCCAATGCTATGAAAACCCCCAGGTGGGGATTTTACGCCGTTCGGTCGGTCGGTCGGTCGGTCGAAATCGGTCGGTCGCCGTCGAGGGTTCGAACCCGGGAGCTGGGGGAGGAGGAAAGTGCACGCCACCATGTTCATGGATTGTCCTGATGCACTATCCTTCCTCCCCCGCTAAAAGTAGAACATATTTGGGGCTTATAAGTTTAGATTTCTTTGTTTTGGACTCGGCGATCCTGATATTCCGATCCTTCGCTTCCCCGAGCTCCCTCCTTCCACCATGTCATCGATGCTCTCGCTCACATCTCTAATCTTAGGATTTCTCCCTCAACCTTATATCATCGAGCTCGGTGGCCGTTGTTTCTCGATTCGTTTCCCTAACCATTAACTGTAATCAGAAAAGCATGGTTTCGGCACAACACTTACTAATTCTTTTTTATAATATGGATTTCTCCCAAAGGCGACCCAACATTCAAGGTTTGACGTTCTTCACGCTCCGCAGATTCCGATCTTTAACCACAGGGGTAAGGTGTATCCCATGTATTCCAACATATTGGGTATTAAGATGGTCTCCTCGCTGTTCATACCAAAATAGGGATGGGGAACTATACGGGTATCTAACGTTTCGCAACGTTATCCTGCAAACTCGACTTTTCTCACGCTCTGAACGAGCGCTGATATACAAAAAAGATCAAGAGTGCGAGAAGAGACTTGGGAGGGAGATCTGGATACGACGAACAATGAGGCTGATATTGGTTTGTCCTAGGAAAGCGGGTTACGAGGGAGCTATTCCGACCCGTCCAACGAGACATTCTCGCTCAACAGGTCTTTTGCCCTTCGGCCCCAAAATCTGAAGAAACGATTTCTCGATATGACATGAGCTCTGGTGTCGTTGTATTATCATGATGATGTTGATAGGTGTCACGGATGGTGATGGCCCCTAGGATCCTAGATGACATGGCAATACACAATAAGGCGGAAGTTAAAGGAAGGGCTAGGATGGCTATAGCTGGGAGCCGGAGGATAAAGATATGTATCCGTAGGATATGGCGGATCTCGATCGAAACCATCTGGAGGGTGGGTAATAGTGCTGGTGATACTTGAGGACTGGCAAGCGATGACCTACATTGGAAGGGACAATAAACAAGGCCGATCAGGGGAATAGAGCTAGGAGAGATAAACAGGAAACTGTTTATAGTCCAAGAGGACTACAAAGCGCACTGATAAGCCGTCAGTATGGCTGAACGTCTGATGGAAGCAGTCCAAAGTCGATGGTAGTCGTCAATTCCAAATCAAGTCTAGTGGGTGACTCTGCTGCACGTGACCCAACGCAGAAGGCGGTGAGTGGTGTCAGAATACTGGCAGTTGTTTATCGATTTGCTCGTGATGTGAGGGCCAACTTGTATTTTGTTCATTGGTTTCAACGCGTGTTTCACCTTCAGCTTGTTGCAGCTGGTGCTTGTTATCTGGTTGATATTCTTCCTAAACCTTGCCAGTCAGCTTATTTTTCTGCTCTCGTTGAATTGCAACAAAAATAAATGAAGATTGTCCTAGACTTATCAGCGACCTGATTCTATTCAGCAGTCACTCCTTATGTATGTTTCCCAGTCTTCCACAAGAATTATGGTGAATGACTTTGATTATTGTTTTTCTTATTTTCATTTGAATCCCATATTGTTGGCGCTCTCCAGGCACTAGTCTCTTGCTTTGGTGTACTGCTACCTAACATCTGCCCAATAGACCAACCACGTCTTCCCATTGTGCGTCGTCCATATTCGAATTCACCAAGGTCAGTTTTAGATGCTGTCTTGCATCACTCAACCCAGTCTCGCCTTGGTTTGCCTCACCTTTCATGGTTGGGCATGAGTTCGCCTCAGATCTTGACAATTTGATTGAGCTGGCTGGTTTTCCTTTTTCCTGCACTATTCATAACGCTGGTATTTAGCGTGTCTAAGTTAATCAAAACTGTTATACGGAGTACTAATCTTGACTCCGAATTGCAGGACCTTGAACTCGTGGACATTCATTTTCCCAATTATTCTCGAGTCGAACTCCGACGAACCTCGATCGGCTCTCATCGTGGTAGTGAACCCGTGACAGATAATCGATGAATGGGACTCCATGCGAAGAAAATGCAATAATAATAATCAAAAAGTTATTTACCATATTTGACTGCTAAGCAGCCGATTCCGGCATTCGTGCTCTGACAGATATTGTCAGAGAGACGCTGGTCGTCGAGAATGGTGAAGGTGGATGTGAGAAGGGATTACTACGCGGAGCTATGTATTGATAGCCGTGCGGAGCCAGAGGAAATCAGAAAACAATACAGGAAACTCGGTGAGCAGTATTGTCATTTGAATCCACTTTTCCCGCAACTGAGAGCTTACCAGCTACGGCATAACGGCAGCATTCAAATACCACCCCGACCGAAACCCAGGAAGAGAAACAGAGTTCAACTCAAAATTTCAAGCACTCCAGACCGCCTACGAGGTTCTCAATGACTCTCAGTTACGAAGCAAGTATGATACGGACAGAATCCGCGCTGGCTATGGAAAACACTATAGCTCTTCGCGGGCAACTGCTACCCCTAGGACACAAAGTTCGGGAACTCCATTTGCTCCCACGCCTCCGCGAAGAACGCCAACAAGCACTGGGAACAAGTCTGGCTATCCCCCCACAGGATCGTACGCTCCTCCACCACCAACCTCTGGGGCACAGAAATGGAACAACTACACGAAACCTGGCGCTTCAAAGTGGGATAAGGTATATGAAGACGCAAGGACACGAGCTGAAGCGTATCATGGATTTCAAAATATGAAACATAATTCCCATCCTGCTGGTGGATGGACGAATTTCGACCCACGGACGGGACGCTCATCGCAGGAGGCAGGGCGGACTGAAAAGCCTCCCACAGCGAAGGCACAACAAGGTCAAAGACCTCATTCTGCATATGAATCTTATTTCAATCCACAGAAGCAGACAGCCCCTCAAAGATCACAGACAACTAAGAAAAGAAATGGATTTGCTCCCGGAACGCCTGGGGGAGATGAACCAATGGCAAAGAGTACTTCAGCCTATGCCAGCGTTTCGAGAGGTGAGAGGGCTCAAGCCTCAAATCCCTTATTTGAACAAGCGCCGTCGCCTACGAAGAAGAAATTTACCGGCGATTCGAACCCTTCTTCAATGCCGAATTTGGAAAGGACTAGCAGTAGATATGCTACCGCTGGCGGGGAGAAGACTTATGTGTCGAGTGCGGGCTTGGGGTTTACCAGCAGCGCCCGTACCCTGTTTGAAGATCCCGGGCCTCGTCCTCGAACAAATCCACCGAGTCCAACTGCTACTCCAGTTGGAGGAAGGCATCACAGCGAGAGTCCTAAGCTGAGACCTAGTCGTAACCATGCTTTCACTTCTTCCCCTACCTCGAGTGACTCGGATGAGATTCTCCCCACTTTCCGCCCGAAGGCCAAGCCGCGTACAAGAATTCGCAACAAGGGAAACGCCAACGCGTATACGAACTATAACAAAGGATATAGCAGTGGCGACACCTCTTCAGCATGGGCAATGCACCCCGATTCATGGCTGTTCGGTGAGACGAATAACGGCCATAAAAAAGCGCCTGCAAAGGGTAACCGCGGGGACTTTGGTGGCTGGGGAACGGATCCCAACAGTTTCCATGACGGAATTGAATCAGACAGAAGCAGCCGCAGAAAAACTGCGGAGCGCGCGTCGAAGTCGTTCAAACAATTTTCTAGTAATGCCGACAGTGATGAAAATGCCCGAAGGGAGACGGGAGTTCCAGCTTCTAATGAGGGCCGCAATCCCTCGTCTAGTAATATGTATGTCACCCTTACTAATTTATTCATGGCAATGGCCATGACCCTTCTTCCTATAGACCAATCCTTTTGATGCCGTTATTCATACCTAAGAAACTGCGGCCTTAGTTCATCGAAAGGATGGTTTAGGAATAATGGAAATGGGGAAGGCCACTGGATTTTATCATTATCCGGCTGGAAATCTTCCTCAGCTTAGTGATGCAGAAACTAATTGAATGCTACTCCTTAGTTTCGGTGCGATCAACGTGAATGAAATCCATAAGACAACGCCAAAAAGCAAAAGCCACGACTACATTAACACTAGTTTCTCAGCAAAGGAATGGAGTGGCACCTTTGGGGATGGCGTACACTTTTTCACTCCTGCATCGTCTAGCAGCTCTGCATTTGTCTCGAAGACAATACCAACACGAGGTAGAACTCTGAACAAGCCTGGCATATCCTCCCATTTTCAGCCATCGGACTCTTCACAGACTGCAACCAATCCCAGCGCAGATCGTGCTTCCTCTCAACCACTTCCACCGTTTGCAGAAGCGAAGTTTTCAGCTGATCATTGGGCAGAACTCCTCAAAAACAACGAATGGACAATTCCACGCCCCGACGCATTTCAATCGCAGCAAATGGACTCTCGCCGTCACAAGAGCCCCAAGAAACAAAGCAGGCCTTCGAAACGCCACGCGGTTCCGCGACCGGCGACTGTGACATCAGAAGCTGAAGAGGCGGCAACGATGTACGCGTCTGGTGTGCAAACGGCTGAGAATACCATGAACGGAGCTGCTGAAGCGATGGATATTGACGAGACAATACCTTCCGCAGGCCTCCAAAATATACCAACCGCGACTCCAAAGGAACCAACCAACTCCTCCAATGTTAGAAACCCCCTTGCTTCTAACACAGGTCCCGATCTTCTCGATTTAACGGACATTGGGCTGGTTAACCCATTCACCGCAACTAATAGTAGCGGCATTAACGACTTGAAGGACTTAAATACTACTCTTCCGTTTGATTCTCAGCCCGAGTCGATTCGAACACGTATTAAACCAAAGGATCTCTCTCTACCCAAACCACCCAAAGTTCCGACTGCTCCTAAGTTTACTGTCAATCCGGGGCTTCCGGGCATGAAGCCAGAACAAATTCTCGCTCGGGGAATGTGGGATCGGTTTATGACCGATATGGCGGCGTATATGAACGAATTCAATCGGTTTAATCGAACCATGCTTTCCCATTTTAACTCGAGACAAAACTCCGTTGATACATTGCTATCACCAAATTGGATGAGTGCTAGAGGTGACAGTAATCGGTTGAATCTGGATGGGAATCAATGCCCTGCGGCCGGGGATGACGAAGACGAAAGCAGCGACGAGAACAGCCTAAGTAATACTGGGAAATTTGGCTTTACTGCCTACGTGCGTGGAATGGAAGAAGACTTTGTTGTTCGTCAACACTGGGAAATCGCGTGGGAACGCCATCGTCAGAGTATCTTGGAGCTTGGACGCCTACGTGCCTGGATTCGAGAAGGTGCAAAAAGGCAGCTGGGTTCGAATGCCGAATCTTTGATTTAAGGATCCTCAATATTCACAGCACCAGGGAGGCTAAGGAATGACAAATTGAGGCGTAAGCGGCCGGAGTGATCATATTATTGGGTGACTGCGTTTGGCAAGGAGTTTTAGTCTTTTTCCGCCGATGGTATCGGTGTTTGGCGAGCGTTGTTTACATTGCCTGTCGCCCTTGAATATCGCTGCAATGTATGGTTATGGGGCCAACTACGCTTTATTTGATAATTTTGACCCAGCAAATAGTAAATCTTAATCCGATATATCTGAATTCCGTCTACGGAGTAGATGCATACATTACTAGAGGGACAGGATAAATGGACGACCCCCTGTTAATGGTTGGTTGGAATGTCGTCCTGGAACATTAGTTTCTCCGATAAGTTTCTAATTCAAGACTAGCTTGGTTTAGGAACGGCCCGACCTATCCTCCGACCCGATTGAATCCCTTACATAATCAGGCTCCCCCGCCAAAAAAGTGACTCAACGGCACAAAAGATTGCGCGCATATTCCGGAGTTTTCGCAGTTTGGTCATTTGTACTTGACGTTGCAAATCTTGACACAAAGTCCCTGTCGTAAGACGGTTATCGCGGGCTCTTACGGTTCCCCAATTCACTCAATTAAGTGCCTGCACGTTGTCAACTGCTATTGAGGGAGGCGGGGTTCATCACTCCCTTTTTACCCCTCGGCATCCTTGCGCTGGATATCACGGACTCGTCAATTGCACAAAAACAAAGTCAATTGGTTAGAGATACCTTGAAGTTTACTCGGAGGTGGTATACTGTCCAAGCACTTGTATCAGAGTTCGGAGCAGGATCATGGTGACACTGGTTTTGGGCTCCCAATTTGGGGACGAAGGTTAGAAATTCCTGTCCCTGCATCATCGGTCAATTTGACAATTGGCCCGGATGCATGATGCCATCACAAATTTTGAACGCTGTACTAATTCGGATGGATGTCTATTAGGGAAGGGAAAAATTACGGACCTTCTCTCACAAAATGCGGATCTCTGTTGCCGGTCAGCCGGCGGACATAGTGAGTTTCTACTCCTCGCTCTCCCTAGCAACGAGCTCACAGCCGATTACCGTTGTGTGCGCCAATGGAGACGGGAACCGTATTGATTAATGTATCGCATTGACTAGACGCCGGGCACACGATTATCCATGACAATGTCACGTACGATTTCCATATTCTTCCTTCGGGCCTCATCTCGCCGAAATGCGTAAACCTAATCGGTTCCGGAACGGTCGTCCACGTTCCCTCATTCTTCAAAGAGCTCGAGGCTTTAGAAGGAAAAGGCCTAAAGGACGCACATAAGCGTGTTTTCATCAGCGACCGTGCTCACGTTTGCTTCGATCTCCATTCTGTTGTCGACGGTCTCGAAGAGGCAACCCTCGGCGGGCGGAAAGTTGGGACAACTGGAAAAGGTATTGGGCCATGCTATAGCGATAAGGCCGCGAGAAGAGGTGTACGGATCGGACAAGTTCTGGATGAGGGCGTTGTGGAGACAAAATTGCGAAGTCTGGAGGCCGGCTATCGACGACGGTTTGGGGAGTTGAACTATGACTTGGAAGCGGAGATCAACAGGTTCAAGGTAATCTCTCCATCTTGTCTCATAGTCGCTCGTTACTGACCATAATCTAGGAATACCGAACTTTGCTTAAACCTTTTGTGGTGGATCAATTGACGCTATTACGCAAACATAAGGACGCATCCATTCTCATCGAGGGAGCTAACGCCCTCATGCTCGACATTGATCACGGCACATATCCATATGTTACCTCGTCCTGCACCGGTTTAGGCGGCACCATCCAAGGGCTTTGCTTGAACCCAACTCAGATCAAATCCATAATCGGGGTCGTAAAGGCATACAGCACACGAGTCGGCTCAGGTCCCTTCCCCACTGAGCAAATAAACGAAATTGGCGAGAAGTTGCAAGTCACGGGCCGTGAGTTTGGAGTGACAACTGGTCGAAAACGACGCTGTGGGTGGCTTGACTTGGTGATGTGCAGATATAGCACCGCAATCAACCATTACACTGCTCTCAATTTGACCAAATTAGACATCCTGGACGAATTTGACGAGATAAAGGTTGCCGTCGCCTACCGTCTGGAAGGAAAGGAAATCGAATTCTTCCCTTCTGATGCCGATGTGCTGGAGAAGGTGGAGGTGGTGTATGATACGTTACCAGGCTGGAAGACGAATACTATGGGCATCACGAAATGGGAAGATCTGCCACCAAACGCTCAGAAATATATCGAATACATCGAGAAAGACATAGGGGTTCCGATTAAGTGGGTTGGAACAGGCCCAGCGAGATCCCATATGATCGAGCGAGCTCAGTAGGGCTCAGTACAACACTTCGCTTCAAAGGCATCATGTTTCTAGGTCACTTGAGCGACCCCATTTCGCTATCTCTGCCATCTCGGAGAAAAGTTCGTTTCCCAAGAAGATCCTAGATCTTTCCGTCATATTATAACTTTACCGCGCTCATGTCTTTTTGACTGTTCTCCGCCATTTTGGCATAGCATCTCCGGATTTGGATAAGGCAAACTGGGAAGTAAAACCCCCGGACTAAACTCTAGACTTTATGGAGATAAAAATACTCTATCAATCCTAGATAAATGCTCCAATTCTCGGAATTCTGCTGTTATTTCAATGTGATGATGTTATCTAGCATCGATTTATAGTTAAGCTTTCAGGAACAACATAAACCCGGGCCGTAAGCTTAGGTAACCAATTTTATCGGCCAATAGAATCGATTTGCTTCAAGATGTTGCAGCATAAGAAGAGCAAATCACCACCACTACTGCCTTCGGGCATTTGGTCTTATTGAAACGATACAGAGAAGATTAGCATGGCCCCTGCACTAAGGATGACACGCTCAATCAAAGAGAAGCTCCAAGTTTTTTTGCCGACCTCGCGTCGAGGTGTGATGCCCCGAGGGCAGAAGGGCAAGCTGGAGTGGCCTGGGTTCGATTTGCCCTTGTTCTACAACTATTTTTATTTTTGCCCTTACACGGCGGCAGGATAGAATGCACTGGAACCTCGCAGAAAACAGCATAAGTCTGGGAAACAATGGCTACTAATAGCAAAATGTACGAGGGTCCAGCTATTATCAAATGCACTTTAGCATTCTAATTGCTCTGTCAATCCAACCCTGAACCATTGTAAGTTATCTGTTTGGGCTTTGGACTTATGTTGCCGCCTGGAGGCCCGGCAGATATCCCTTTATCTTCACCCATCACTGCTCGTCTTTGAGCTAAAATTCTCTCCTGTCTCGTCAAGAGGTCCACGTCCCGCTTGTACTGCCTATCATTAGCGCCCTCGAGCTCTCTGATACGCTGCATCTCCACGGCTAGTTTCTTATCTGCCAGCTCCCGCTCTATCTGTGCTGTCTCTTGTGCCTGTCCAATTTGGAGCCTGCCCTGACGCTCGAGTGTCTGAAATCGAAGTTGATCGAGGGTCTTCATGTGTTCAAACTCCAACAAACGATTCTGCTGCGTGAGGCGAGCCTTTTAAGCTGCAGATTCGGCCTCAAGGCGCAATTGATGTTTTGCAGAGCGCTCAGTTGTTGCTTCGCGTTCGTCTGCGATTTGACGGTCATGCTGGATGCGCAAGTTATGCGTCCGTGTCATCAGGACATTCTGTTGCTTTGCAATATCGTCGTTCTGCTTTAGGCGTATTTGGTGGTCCTCTTCTTCTTCCTGCAACCGTTTGGCGCGGATCTGTCGCCGGTTTTCTTCTGCCGCAATTTCTGGTGGGGCATTGACCATGTCGGGGGGTTGTGGACCGGAGAGCCTGTAGTATACGTCCTTGCAACCATGGGCTTGGAGTATATAGAGGAGCTGTGGAGCGTGTTCCCTTGGACTTTTTTGAAGACACTTCTTGATGTACATGGACGGTGAGTACACGGATTTATCGGCGGTATAAAGATTGCTTTCATCATTGATTATTTTCCACATCCCGCTTGCCAGAAGAGCAGTTGTGATACGGACGCACGACTTTGGGTTATCCAGGGCATGGAGCAGGACTGGTTTTCCTTGACTTTGATCCCTTAAGTCCGCCTTTCCAGAAACAAGGGTGTCGATGGCTTTTCTGATTCTAGAAACAGGCAATCCAACATCGGAAGCGCAGAGGCACAGGTTTGCCATCGCACAACGACCATCATGTAGCATCGACGGGAAGTTGGGATCGTGGCCGTAAGAGAGAAGGAGTTGGATAGCATCTAGATTCAAGGCCCTGGCTGCTTCGTGAAGGCTTCCATCGTCAACCGCAGCGCCTCCCTCGATAAGAAAACGCATTGACTTTATTTGATTTTTTCTAGTTGCGTAAAGCAAAGAGCTCCTACCATCCTTATCACATCTTGAAGCATCTGCTCCATGTTGGATAAGCTTCAAAACGATTTCAGCGGGCCTTTCCATGGCTGCTATCAAGATTGGCGACATCAACGACCCAGTAGATTGAAAATCCGGGTCCGCTAGTAGGATGTTAGACATATAAGCAAGCCATGGGTCGAATTTTGCATACCTCCATGCTTCAATAGACATTCAATCACATACGAACTTATTTTCTGTTGTGGTTGTAATAACGCCCATAGCAGAACTGAAACATGCTCCAGGCCACATTCACTCTCAATCAGGTACGGGGTGGTTTGATTGACATTCATACCATTCTGCAAGAGCTTCTCCAAGACTCTGGTTCCTCGTGGCCATTTCTTCAGACACAAAAATAAGAGAGATTCCCTTTGCGATGTGTTCGACCATGCTGTCTCTATAGATTGTATGTCCATTCGATCTTGATTTAGAATCTCAACCAATTGTAAGCTCATGTCTTCAGAGAGATCTGAGGTTAGAACACACGAAAGCCCAATCATTAAGGTCTCGCCTGAGGGATTAGACTCAATGATCTTCCTAACCAGTAAAAGCTGGCCTTTTGAGATTGCGGCCCGTAGAGCCCGGCCGTCGTGATAATCACCACTGGCTCCAAACTGAAGCAAAAGATCAACGAAGTGCGCTACTTCCGGATTCGTCATTGCATTTTCGATAGCAGCGATAAGAGCAAGATGGAGTACCTCGCCTGAGGCACCATGATGAAGTAGCGATTTGATTATTGGCAGGCCATCAGCTGATAGCCAGCCTACCCCTGCCGATACTGTCTTCCCCAGAACGTACGTTGCAGCAGTTTCCTCTGAAGCTGATTCCAGAAGAAGCTCTAACGTCAGTGCATCATGAGATAGCGCGGCGTGAACTAAGGGTTGACTGTTCGCAAAGTGGACGGAGGCGCCATATTTAAGCAACAGTAAAACCACTTCCTTATCACAAGGCTTTTCTTGAACGACTTTGAGGAGAGCTTCATCTATGCATCGCCCGCTGCACCCTTTCTCAAGGACTCGAGTAATGTATGTAACGCGTGAAGTACCCTTGAGAAGAAGGGAAGATTCAAAAACCGTTTCCAGCGTGCCTGGCGAGAGAGAATGTCCAAGAAATACCTCGAATGCCTCGAAATAGTCATAATCAATCGATTTACGCATTGCTAGGCCTTGTTGATAATCTGCAGAGGCGCCATGCTGGAGAAGGAGCTTCAAGAAACGAATATCCCGGATGTCTGACCTGACTGCCTCCAGAAGTATAATACTCAAAGGCTCGGCCAGTGACTCATCCATTGCGTTTAGCAAAACAGTAGCTAGTTCATATCTTTTAGAGGAGGTTGGCTGCAGCAGAAGTTCCAATCCGCCTAATATTGTCTGGCGTGATGGCGTCCTCGATGCAAGAAGTGCAAGCTGTAGCTCGTTTGACTGTTTCACTGCTCTTCGGATGGTAGCCCCATTGTTGAAATTAACGTTTGCTCCGTGGTTCAGAAGTAATTCCATCAGTTTCAAGTTACTGGACGGGGAACTCTGTTCAGCGATCAATCCTGTGCTCAGCATTTCTCCGCTAATGCCAGCATCAAGGAGCCTATGGCACATCTTGTAACGGATACCAGAGTCTTGCAAAGATATTGCCGTAAGGAAGGCTCCGTTCAAGGCTTTAGATGAGGGTTGGAATTGCAACAGCACCTTCAAAAGCTTGGGCTCCGAACTCTTACACGCGAGTTGTATCGCTTCCCCCCCGTTTGTGTTAACATCTGCTTTCCCCTTCTCGAGAAAAAGCCCTACCAAAACAATGTCAACGGGGCTTTCTTGAACGAGTTCGATTAGTTGCGCGTCTATTAGAGGTCCACGGGCCCCTGCTGTCAGAAGCAAATCCACGATCGTGAAACGCAGCTCTTTGTCAGGCAATTCACATGCTTGGCTGATGGCTCTGGCAAGAGATATTGCAGATGGTTCGCCTTTGAGTAAAAGGCTCAAGGCAACGATGTCTCCCGACTTTGTTGCTTCTTGAAAACAACACCCGTTCTGAGCATCGACACTTGCTCCGTGCTTCACAAGTATGTCAATGTACTGATTTCGTTCCATCGTATCCTCCGCAGAAACAGCTCCTATCAGCGCCATGTCGACCGCTTCGCCTCGGGCCCCAGCTCGTAATAATTCCGACGCAAATTTTAATTGTAAATCCATGGACAAAGTTGGTAGGAAGCAGAAACAGTATGCAAATGAACTCCGTGACGGTTTTCCATCGAGAAGTTTCTTGAATATTTGAAACGATTTCGGGGACATGGCAAAGCAAAGAGCCTTCGCGTTAAGATAGTCAACGGAAGCTCCGTGGTCGACCAAGAATTTGACTAGTAATTCATCATTCTGCTCAACGGAATCAACCAAATACTCATCCAATGCGACCCCGCCAGCGCCACGTCTGACTAGAGTTGACGTGATCCAGAGCTTCCTAGCACACGGTAGATTCCCACTAATTTTGGGGAATTTAGCCAATATGGCGGATGCGCACTCTCCGTCGAGGTTTCCATTAAAAAGAGTAGTAAGCAGTTCAACATTGTCCATTTCTATAGCTTTGATTATCGCGTCGAAAGGGTTATAGGATGTCAAATCGTGGTGAGTAACGATCGTTGAGGCGAGCTTCTGATCATTTGTAAAAACTGCTCTTGTCAGGGCTTTTGTCACATTCTCTCCAGACGCGCCAGCGCAGACCAGGATTTCGATGATCAAACGTCGCTCTTCGGTCACAGTGGTCGTTTCGAGGAGGATATTCCCAAGAGCACGGTTAAGGGATTGCCGCGATGGCGGATATTCGGCGGAGGCTAGAGCAGCAATGAGGTCAATTCTCCCCGCCTTAACCACAGACTCGAAGAGTTCCCCCGAATTTGCGTCCGCGCCTTGTTGGAGAAGAGCTATGACAAGCTGAAGCGAGCCATTGGAAACAGCGATAGGAAGAGCTTTATCGAGGCACGATTTTGCGAGCGGTATCTCGGAGCTGAGAAAAAGTTTGACAAGGGGGGTGTTACCATTTCCCACGCTTTCGAGAATTGCAGTATGGCAGAAGTTCGGATCTGCCCCGTTTTGGAGCAGGGCCTTGACTGAGTCTAAATCAGAAGCAGCAACGGAATATCGAAGACACATTGCTATTGATGCGGGATCCGCGTGTGAAGCCAACAGAGATAATACCCCCGCCTGTTGTTTCTCCGCCGCGAGTAGTAGGAGCGCTTCTATCTGCGCATCACCGGTCTCTTGCTGATGCTTAAATATGGGCTTTTTAGCTTTTGCATCTTTGACTTGGCTGAGTAAACATTCGACAACTCCAATAGGTCTATTTTCCTGGATAGCTGTCTCGATTGCGGCGTAAAGTTCGTTCTTTTTAAAGTTGCGTTGGCTTGGAGTGCGTCGGAAAACATGGGATTTAGAAGAGAAAGCCTCCAGTCGTTTTTGTCTTGCGAGCGACTCCGCTGCTGCTTTATCTTCTTGGCTGAATGAAGAGACAGATTCCCTCCTGAGGCGTGGTAGATGTCTATTCATAAAAACGCCTAAGCCGGCGGCTAATTCTTCGAGGCGTCCGCGGTTGTGAGATGCAGAACTATTTGCCTATATTGAAGTAAGCAAACACTAGTTCAGTTTCCCTGTTAAAATAGAATTTACATACTTCCATTTTTGGCTTCAAGGTAGAGAACTAGAGATGTTCAAGGCGCTTGAGTAGCGATGGAGCTGAGAAGAGATCGCCGGCCGACTGTTCATCATAAAAAGAGGAACACAGTGAGGGAAACATGTCAGCTAATTTTGAAATCAATACCAGTGTTATTATTCACGTCACCCAATTGACATGGATATTCCCATTGGGCGCGAATGTAGCCTCTCATGTCCATTGCATGTAAGCGCCAGCGAATAAACCGAATTCACCATACATGGAACATTATCCGTCGCGAGCCTGAAGTGCAGCCCCATTGATCCACTTGATATGCTAAGTTTAGCCTTTGTTATTGTTTCTCGCGACATCTTCAGAGAAAGCTAAGAGACTGCAGTCAACTGGTGTTCAGGAGTCATAAATCTAGGCAAAGGAGAGTAAAGATGAATTTTCAGATTAAGAATTCAAGAACTCCATTATGCGCAGAGATTTTCTTCATAAAAAATAAATCGTGTTCAACCTTTATCTTGCAACAATGGCGGGTAAAGAGTCCACAACCTCGAGAAGAAGAGCAGTGAAGTTGATCGGTGGACGTTGAAGCGAAGACCTAAAAAGAGCAAAAAAGAAATTTGGCGGTACTGGGAATCGAACCCAGGCTGGCGCGGCCACAACGCGACGTCATACCACTAGACCATACCACCTTGTTGATGTCTGTATGACTCACCCTTGAGAATTTCAGCAGCCCTTGCTAATATTGACGATATCCTGAACGTTGGCAAGACATGATGCCTGGAAGGAGCTCGCTGCGTATTGGAAGCCATAAAATACATCCTCGAAATATAGCTTCCTGGAGTAAACGAGACTTTGGTTAATAGAATATGGTGAACCACGCTCAAGCCGCTCAGCCTCAAACACGATGCAAAGTCATCAGGCTGCAGCTCAAGAGTAGTCGGCGGGGATGAGAGACCTCTCCCAAGATTTAAATTACCCAGGCTAGAGGACACTTTGGCAATCAACCATGGCATCACCGAGCAGAGAATCCCGAATCAAAGGCTCCATTTTTGGCGTAGCCACAGTCGACGCCCTCGGGGGACCTGTCGAGTTTTTGCCCAGGGGCAGTTTCCCGAAGGTCACCGGTTATCAACATAACAACACATTCAATGTGCCTGCAGGGTAAGCAGCTTTATGTTTAGACCCTAGGTGACCATTGCGAGTCCGCTCACTTGACCACAGCACCTGGACGGATGATACTTCGATGACCCTCTGCCTCGCTCAGTCACTCATTGATAGCAAGGGCATCTTCAACCCTCAAGCTGCTCTACAAAATTACATTCGGTGGTGGAAAGAAGGGTACCTGTCTGCCACCGGCTACTGCTTCGATGTGGGCCATGCGACCGTGAAGGCGTTGGCATTATGGAGGAAATTCTTTGCACTGCTAGAAAAGGGTGGCCGAAAGGATGGTTTTGAAGACGAGCAGCTAGTCATTGATGGTGCACTAAAGTACGAGGTACGGGGAGATTGTCCGCAATCAAATTCCTATAGCCACTTCTCCCAAAAGGCCAATTTATCTGACCTTCCTTCAGAACTTCTGCGGCAATGGCTCGCTGATGCGCGTCTCACCCGTAGGGCTCGTGTATTCCCATGATCTCCAACTTGCCCTCTCGGTTGCTGCGCGCTCCTCAAGGGTAACCCATCCCTATCCGACTTGCACTGAATGTTGTGAACTATACACGAGGCTCATCGTGAGCGCTATGAACGGCGCCGGCAAGGAAGCAATTGCCGAAGAGCTGTCCAACGTCCCATTCAACGACTCAAAAGTCGCAGAGCGATTCTGCAAGTATACCAGCATCAAGGATTGGGAAACCATGGAAGAAAGCGATATCGATTCCACTGGGTATGTAGTTTCCACCATGGAGGCGGCACTGTGGAGCTTTTTTACCACGAGTTCGTTCCAAGATGGGGCGTTGAAGGTGGTGAATTTGGGCCAGGACGCTGACACGGTCGGTGCCGTGTATGGAGGACTGGCGGGGGCATTCTATGGGTTTGAAAATATTCCCTCAGAATGGGTTCAAGGTCTTCAGAGAAAGGATGTCGTGGGCGAAATTTCGTCTGGTCTTGCAGGCCTCGTACAAGATGACCATGTAAGCACATGAATAGAACATGAGATAAATTTATATTGAATGGAGATCAACATTTTAGGAGTGGAAAAGTCTGAGATCGCATGCAACAGCTTCTGTACATTTCACAACACCGAGAAAAGGCATCAACAAGAAACTCAACAAAATCTAGCACAGGAAGATACAGCCTGAAAAACAAAAGCAGCCACTCAACCATCCATAGTTTTCAGGGAGCAGAACATATCAAGCCATGAAAATTGTTAGTAATACACATCAACAAAGATATTAAGACCATGGTAAAAGGAATGAAAATGTACATGAGCAGAAAACGGGGAAAAAGATGGTATCTAGTTTTGATGCAAGCCATTTCGTTTTTGACATAGAATAAAGCTGGCGCCTTCAACTCCATGAGCCAAGTAGATAGCAACCATTAGCCGAATATAACCCTTCACTCCAAGGCGATAATAGAAAAACTGGAGATGTAGCTTCGAAACAATAGGCGGTCGTCACCTTTCATGCGATATCCCGAAGAAAAGAAGCCGTTGCACAATTTCGGGGGTCGTGATTTGGTTTGAGGTACTCCATTATTGAAGAATGATGAAAATGTTAGGTTCCTATCTCCAGTCGGAATCGGGCCGTCGTCGCGAACCACGACTGAATCCTGACCGAGCGCTATCGTGCTCCCGATCACGCGAGAATCGCCCACGCCCTCTATCGTCCCAATGAGACCTTGGTTCGTTGCGCGAGGATCCGCCACGTCCGGAGTTAGATCGACTTCCGCCACGATAGTCCCTTCCCCGTCCACCCCTAGGCGCGTTGAACCCAGATCCACCTTCGTTCGAAAGGCGGTCGATGTTCAGGGTTCGTGAAAGCCGACCACTTATTGGAGGAGGCGACTCAAGACCCCAGAGATGTTTTGTTAATTCATTTAGTTGACGGAACTTTTCACGGGACCCGGCCGCGTTGCTTAGGGAAGCCATGTACGCTTTCTCTTTCAGCTCATAGTCAATCTCGGCGAAAGCTGCCTTGGCTTGGGAGATGATGGAAGCCACAGGCTGAGGGTGCATTGAGTGGTCTTTCGATATATCAACCATGGCCGTTTGTAACGCGTCGGTGGCTTCCTTGATTGGAATGGCTCGAAGTCTTTGATGTAGCTCGCGGTTCTCGGGATCAGTGACCAAAAGCCACCCTTCACCAGTCTTATTTGCACGAGCGGTACGACCAAGACGGTGAATATATGACTCCCTATCACGCGCAACACCGACTTGAATAACATGCGTCACGTTGGGAAAGTCCATTCCACGAGCGGTTACATCGGAAGAGAAAAGGATAGCGGATGCCGAACGGCGAAACATGTCTGAATATCTTGTTCTCTGCGCTTGAGTCAAACGAGACTGCATTTCCATTGAACGAATGTTGAGCGGATGCGCTGAAGCGGGATTTTGTGGGTCCACTCGTAATAAATCGAAAGCTTCCTTCGCCAAACTAACCTCGTTGGTGGAATTGTAGTAGACGATGGCTTTGAAAGGCTTATGCTTGATAGGATCTTCTTGGTGATTCGCAATTGCCTTCATGGCAATTTCCATGATTGCTGGCATCTGGTTCGCTAAACTGTGGAGAAATACGGCCCGTTGAGGAACAGACAGATGCGTAGGAGCCTCATCATCTCTCACTGTTTTGATGAAAGAGAAATCTGGTTTCAATGTTTGGTTAACGATATTCCTGATCTCGGGTGCCACAGTGGCGGAGAACATCAGAGTTTGGCGATCAAATTTCCTCTGGATTTGGAAAATGGGTTTGCAATCTGGCGATATCAGGTGCAAATCCGTCATCGAGCAAACGGTCTGCTTCATCTAAGACGAATGCACTTAGTCTCGGTGCTTGAATTCCTGTGCGATCGTCGCTGAAAATATCAATTAGGCGACCTGGAGTTCCAATGAGAAGGTGACAACCCTCTCGTTGTATTTTTCGAAGGCCTTCAATCTTCCTAGTTCCACCGACGGCAGTCTGGACTTTGACGCCTGTGTTGCGAACGACTTTCCGAGCTTCTTCGGCGATTTGCTCCGCGAGTTCACGAGTCGGTGAAATTATAACAGCGCGAATATCTGAGCCGCCGGACATCTGACGCCCTCCACGAAATCCTGAGCGGAATCCTCCACGGGTGACTTGAGCATTGCGTAGCGAAGGGTCCTGGCGAATTATATTTTGAATGACTGGAACAAGGAAGGCAAGGGTTTTGCCAGTACCTGTCTTAGCCTGAGCAAGCCTGTTGAAATCAATGATCAATCAGTCGTCGTCTAGTTAGATTTGAATCCTAGGATTGAGTAACATACACGTCTTTCTTCCTAAGGGTGTGATGAATCGTCTCGACTTGAATTTCTGTCATTTGTGAGAGGCCCATGTTGTTCGTAATCGCGTCGACGATCTTCGCATCAACTAATCCCTTGCTCTGCAAATCCGCGAAGTGCGTCACTTTCTCCTCCTTTTCAGGGAGCGGCGGTAGTGCATCGCTCTCAGCGGCAGGACTAACTGCCTGGCTTGCAATACTCCGAAGTAATGGCGATACATGAAATGTTCTCGCTGGTAGTATGGCGGGTTGAATTGGTAGAATCACCGAACGACTAACGAACGACGTAAGACTTGGACGAATACATTTTTGAACATTGCGAACGAGGAGATGTCCTCGACGAACACCAAACATCCTAGCTTTTCCCGAAACAGCCCTTTTCAAAGAAGATGGAGATAAAACGGAAAACTGGATCTCCAGTGGTATAAATGTATTTCAGAATGAAAGCAAATTTCGGAATGAAGGTAAAGGAGGATTGAAGGGAGAAGTAAAAGTCAGGATGAGAACTGACTTCTGGACCTCTGATAAGAACTTTTTTCCCAACGCCTCCTGCAAATTTCGATGAGATGGCCCGTGCCAGCGAAAGCCTGCTTAGTCAGTCCAAAAACGGAGGAACATTGAACCTTAACCTTAGCTGGACGGATCGGACTAAAGTGGTTCCGTGGAGCTCATACCTATGTATGTTATGTTGGCTGGGGAACCGTCAACGTTTCCTGCGTGGCATATGGTAGGTAGCCCCCGTACGGAAGATCATTTGGCTATGAGAGTAGCTGAGCTACTTGCGATATGGTATATAATTGAGACAATTTGTTTTATCAAGCCCTAGGCAAGTTGTCAAGAAACAATTCCGCTGGCAATCATACAATTATTGCAGATAATCCCCATTCGTCTCTTTGTGGATCATATCAAACAGCGGCTTCGCACTGAAATATCCAGCGAAAGGTGTTCCAACCGATTTATACGTAAACTCGGCATCCTCATCGGGAATTTTTATCGTCTGACCTCCCCTCCCGGCGGCGGCAGCGTCGGCCATCAATTGCGCGTGACAGCACTTCTCCAGGCTAACAAACCAGAAAACTGCTTCTTCGATAGTTTTGCCCACCGTGAGAAGCCCGTGGTTCTGAAGAAGAGCAGCTTTCTTATTCCCTAGGGCCGTAGCGATATTCTTGCCCTCTTCTGTAGCCAACACAATTCCGTTGAATTGTTCGTAAACGACATGGTCCTTGCCTCAGATATTAGCACGATTACTAGGCTGAGCTACGTCAAGTTCGATGGTCTCTCACTTTGTAAAATGCGCAGGAATCCTGCGTGATGATATCAAGTGGTCGTCCGAGGGCACAAAAAGAACGTCCATAAATGCTGTGACTATGGGCGGCACACACGACATCTTCTCGAGCCGTGTGGATGGCAGAGTGAATTGCATATGCGGCGGTATTCAACAATCGTACTGGACCACCGTCGACGACGTTTCCCTCGTGGTCCACCTGAATCAAGTCGGAAGCTTTGATGAGAGAGAATGCCACCCCAAACGGGTTCACCCAGAACGTAGTCGGGTCAACAGGGTCCCTAATCGTGATATGGCCAGCTACTCCTTCATCGAATCCATTCTTGCCGAAGATGCGGAACGCAGCAGCCAATCTTCCCTTAAGGTACTCTCTTTCCTTGTATTTGTCTTCGAAGACTGGGGGTTTTGGGAATGCCTTAAATTCGGGTTTCCCCGAGGTAAAAGTAAGATTTTCTCGGAATGTACCAACAGCAGGCTCTGTGGCCGATTCGGTCGTCGTTGCCGTCGCTGTTGGGGGCGCCATTATGCTGTTGAGAGCTTGATAGGAGAAAAAAAAAGAAATGTAACCAAAGGGGCCTCACTGTATATTTCTCCGAGAAGCTCACCCGGTGGATGCTACCGAGCGGTCTTTATACCCGACAGCCAGCCAACGGCTCAACCTCAGCTGCCGGTTAAGAGCATGACTGGACATGGAAACCCCACGAAGCATTGCGGGGAAAAGGAGGATTACGAAAGAAAGCCCCGACCTCGACGACTGGCCGAGCAACCAATAGTAGTCCTGCAATCGTCAACTAACTAGCGCGGGCCCGGGGAACAGAAGAGTCACATGACCGACAGCTTGAGCATGAAAATACGGAGTATAAACATCTCATAAAACCTTTTGACTTTCACTGAATAAGGCGTGGAAAAATAATGGATACGGACAAAAACAGCTCTCTTCGAGCACTATTAATAGCAAGCGAGATAGAACAAATCTACATCGATGCTCAGATGCGGAAAGTAACTTCTGAAATCACAATCTCGAAACAGCTCAAAAAAGATAGCCCCCGGGTTGAAGTGAATAAGGTATCATTAAAACCTACGCATGAAGCGGAATGGTACTGCTTATGCGTATGTCATCGCCGGTGGAGCTTGATAGCCGGAAGACTCTACCCGTTTGACGGATTCCTTTTCCTCCTGTAACAACCCACAACAAGGGCAGCACGCTGCACCCAAGAAGTCCATAAAGGTGGAGCCCTTGATACCATATTGGTCGCGCATTCGACCTCGTTGAAGACCTTGCAGAATGCAAGAACAGCCGACCATAGAAAGACAGCACCAGCCGCAGCACTGTGACAACAGGTTAGTACGTTTCCAGAGCCACCTTCGTTACACGGGTTTGCAGAGTTTGGCGAGCAAGACTGTCGACATACCATGCCATTGAAGCTCGAGGGCTTTTCATGCGGTTTTTCTAGGCGGGATTGGGTTCGACCGAAAAGGCAGCAAGGCAGAAAACAGGCGCACAAACCTAGAAAACAATGTTTAGTTTGGTATGAGACAGTTAAAACCGGTGGAACGGGATGGAAAACCAACACTTATCAATAGGTGTGCAACATGACCAGAACGAATGAGACCAGTCAGAGCTGGTAGCAGCTGGCATACCGGCCATTTTTCCTTTTTTTTAGCAGAGAGGTTTAGCAGAACAGAGGCACAGAAAGCAATCTCCTCCACAGTCACGCTCAGGGGGTGCTAGCTGGTATTTCACTCGACAACTTTGTATGGACGCATGGCATGCAAGCTGGGTGACCCAGGGGTTTTGTACTCATCGCGGCTGAAAGTAATTTCACCATTAACATCTTAGTTAAGAAAATAGTGTTTTTGCTGCTGATGATAAGGATGTGATTTGATAGCAGACGGGTCTTGTCTCGAGCTCAAAATGTCCCGTCTTTTCCTTGTTTGGCTTGGATCCTCAACCAAGACGAAGCCATTCCACAATTAGTGCAAATTAAGCTTGAGGGCCAAGCAGTCAGCAGAATGTGGAACCTGGGACCAATGACCATAGGATGAGAGTGAAAATCATCTCTGAAAGCGGGAGGCAAGGCTGAGATGCAATTTGAGCTCAGCTGGGGATAAGGTTCTTCATTCAGACAGCAGTGTGAATGTGTCAGAGCTTGATTTCTCCACACACCTCTTATCCTTCCTTATTTTCAAGAAGGTTCACTTTTTAGGAATGTGGGTGGAGGATCGAGCTTGGTTCGTGAAAGCGGGAGGTTTTATCCTCATGGTGAGGAGGTAAGCAACCCTTCAAGGGTCGCTGTCTGTAAGAAATACTCTGCAGGGTGGGAGAATCACAAAGTTAGAGTCCTGAAAGCTGTCTCTCGCGTCTCTGGAGTGTGGACGTGTGCGCCTTAGACTTGAGCTGCACCTCCTAGCCAAGAGATAACGGTAACTAGTAACTTGGGCGTAGTAAACGGTTAGCTACACTTCTGACCTCGTACTCCGTACTGTATGTATGTATCTACTCCGTATGCATGACTGGCACCGCCAGCAAGAGCTGTTTGAGCCTCAACCCATACGGACGGGAGAATGAAAAACGCCATGGCTCAGCTCTTGACCTGGTTGGCCCACTTTAACGGAGTTCTGGTTAGCATGACAAAATAGCTGAGACATCCGGAGCCTAGCCTCAATGAAGCACATGGGGCGGTTGAAACATACATATGCCCATACGAGGAGGGTACCTCTACAATACTAGAACAAGTACACTCACAGAGCTACAGCTTGTAATTACTTCAAGGTCTAACGTCGATATTACAGTAGTATTCTGCAGTCATGGTATATTGATCGAGAGCAGACGTCGCCGATTATTTCAAAAGTGTTTAAAAATGAGCTGGGCAGCGATGGATCTCAGCAACTTGTGGAAACATAAAGCGTACTGTTCTCCTTGGTTATGATTCAATCACCACCAGGCTCTCCAGCCAAACACTGTAAAGCATCTGCAACAAGTATCTTCAATGATACATAGCACTGAAGCTGCCGGTCATGGAGAAGCCAGATTGTTGAATAACCACCAAATCCAAGCTTGTGAACTACGGTGTAGCGACCTAAAAGAGGTGTCTCCAATGAGAGTTGGATGGTATCCGCCGGGTATAGATCTTTACAAATCCTCGTCTGACTCGGGGTAGTAAATCTCATCAGCTTCCCAAGGCGCTCGCTCGGCCATGGAGTGCTAACAAAGGAATCGACATCCTGGGTGAGAGGCAGGGTGGCGTCGGGTCCATGGAATTTGTAAGGAAGTTTTTGGTGACGTTGCTAAAAAACGAAGAAGTGAGAAAACAAAAGTTTTGGACTCTGCCAACAGTAACTTAGTTACCGGATCTCCAGCCAGCCCTCATTGTCTTGTTGATGTTGATGAAGTCAAGGAAGCATCAAGATTCCCACTCAAACTTCAACCAGGGCACACCAAGGCAGGCTATGCCTAATTAAGTTAACCAATGGGCTTAGGTAATTCCCGTATGAGATCTTCCGGCGCATATCAAATTCGTCGTCTCGAGCGTGTCTAGCTTAGCATGGACAGCAACAACTGAATCATCATGGGGAAACGTAATAAAAAGGTAGCTCCAATCCAGTTTCTGCTATACCGTACCTTTTAACTGACATATCGCATTGTTTTGCAAGTTTGGTGGCGGGAATCGTGGAACACGCCCTGCAAATTATGCGCCAATAGATAAGAGCAACGAAAAGTTTGAGACCTATTATAATAGCCTCGGAATCGTCCCGGACGATGAGAAGGAACAGTTCTGGGATGCGCTGCGGCGCGATCTTCCCAACAGCTTCCGATTCACTGGCTCCCGAAAGTATGGCTTCCAAAATGATTTCCTTTAATAGCTAGCAACTGATGACGATGAACAGACACGCTCTTGCGGTCCAGGAACGTTTAAAGGATTTTTACATTCCCAATATTACTTCCATCCGATATGAAGGGAATCTTGTCGAGCCACCTAGGCCGCTTTCATGGTACCCAGATCAATTGGCCTGGCATATGACAACCCCAAAGCAGGTCGTTAGACGTTTCCCACCGTTCGCATCGTTCCATAAATTCCTCGTTTCGGAAACCGAAGTTGGAAATATTAGTCGCCAGGAGGTAGTTAGCATGATTCCGCCACTGTTGTTAGATGTGCGACCCGGCATGGTTGTGCTAGACATGTGTGCTGCCCCGGGAAGTAAATCCGCACAGTTGATGGAAATGATCCATGCGGGTGAGGAGGAAAAAATGAAAAAGCTGGCTGATAAACTTGAAAACAATGATGCCCAGGCAGCTCGTCAGCAAGGCAAAGTTGAGATTTCCGAACTATTGAATGGGGACGCCGATATGGAAGGGTTTGAAGACGATGGTAGATCCACTGGATTGCTTATCGCAAACGACAGCGATTACAAACGTGCCCACATGTTAATCCATCAAATGAAGCGACTTAATTCCCCTAACCTTCTCGTCACTAATCATGATGCTACTTTGTATCCTTCAATTAGGCTACCTGGTTCCCCTACGGCGGCAGGGAAACGCGCTCCGAATCGATATCTCAAGTTTGACCGAATTCTAGCCGATGTCCCGTGCTCAGGTGACGGAACCGCACGAAAGAACGTCAACGTGTGGAAGGATTGGAACCCGGCTAATGGCATCGGCTTGTTTCCGACCCAAAACAGGATCCTTATTCGTGCATTGCAGATGCTCAAACCTGGAGGGCGCGTGGTGTACTCTACATGCAGTATGAATCCAGTCGAAAACGAGGCCGTGGTTGCAAGCGCAATTAAACACTGTGGCGGCCCCGAAAAGGTCCAGATCATTGATTGTAGCAATGAACTGCTTGGCTTAGTAAGATCCCCTGGTCTTACTTCCTGGACGGTGATGGATAAACAAGGTCGGATCTGGAATGCCTGGAAAGAAGTTGAAGAAAAAATCAATAATGGAGATGAGACCGTTAAAAGGGTAGTAGAGGGGATGTTTCCACCGCCTAGTGATGACCAGTCTATCGATTTAACACGGTGCATGCGGGTGTATCCCCATCAACAGGATACTGGCGGGTTCTTTATTACAGTTTTGGAGAAAAGGTCTGAAATCAAGGGCAAGTCAGAAGGCCAAAATACTCCCGCACCGAAACGTGCACGGGCCGAAGAGGATGCTTCCCAGGACACGACGCCTGTGCCCACAGTAGGGGGCGAGTTCGAGGTTCCCCCTGTCGATGAAGATAGCCGGAATGTGGCAACGGAGGATGCTCTACATCCTAAACGTAGCTCAGACCATCTTGACGGAGAGCCCGAAACCAAGCGGGCCAAAACATCAGATAGCGTTGAAGTCAGCAATGCTGTAACCAAATCAGAAGCGGTGCAAACGAAACAACCCGACGCCACGCCTTTCCGCTCGAGAAAGCAGAAGGGAGGGCAACAATTCGAGGAGCCATTTAAGTACCTGGACACCCAACTTGAAGAATTTCGAACAATTTTCAAGTTTTTCGAACTGTCCCCTCAGTTCCCCAGGGATAGGTTCATGGTACGGAATCCTGAAGGCCGGCCCCTCAAGACTATTTACTACACCACCGCCCTGGCGCGTGATATCCTGACTGAAAATGAAGGAACCGGGATGAAATTCGTGCATTGTGGGGTGAAGATGTTTGTGAAGCAGGACGTTCAGCGCCCCGACGTTTGTCCCTGGAGAATCCAAAAAGACGGGCTTACACTACTTGAGCCGTGGATTGGGACGGGAAGAACAATCAAGATCTATAAGAAGGAAACATTGCACAAGCTGCTGGTAGAAATGTTCCCCAAAGTCAGTGATGGGGGCTGGAGGGAACTGGGAGAGATTGGCGAGTGGGCAAGAGACATTGATATGGGGTGCTGCGTATTAAAACTCGAGCCCACTGATAGTGAAGACGGGTTTCAGTGAGTCTACCAACACAACCGCCGAATTGAATAGTTTTCGAAGCTAATATGTCGTACAGTGAGCATCTGATTTTACCCCTGTGGAGAAGTCTCCACTCCCTGAATCTGATGCTACCCAAAGAGGAGCGCCGTGCCATGCTTCTACGCCTGTTTAACGATGTATCTCCTCTTATCAACACCACTCAGAAAAGGGACGCAGTTGCAGCTCAAGCAAGCGGCGATGCCCTTGGGACACCTCAAGAGGCTGACAGCGACCAGCAAGATAAAGCTGCAGATGATAGATTACCCAGCAGAGAGGAGGAGGAGGCTATTAAAAATGAGAATCTTGCACTCGGCCAAGAGGAGCAAGATGCAATGAACGCAAGAGAGAGTTATCATCAGGTTGAAGGGGAGCCTGATGTGATGAATACAACAGTATAGAGAGTGTACACTAGAAATGGCCACTTCTGTGTCATCTTAAATATTGTAACATATTCAAAAGAGTAAAAATGATTTACCTTATAGCGAGAAAAATATGAATTTACTTGGAGCATTGAAATCTGAGCTTTGTCGTTTTGCGTTGATCCCAACCGCCAAGCTTCTCCAGACAGAAGGGCTTGGCGTGGCTTGGCGTGGTGGGCCGTTTCCAGCCACCGTCTCGCGGATTAGGTCATCCCCCGCCATCTCAATTAAATCTTGACAGGTTGAGCTCCCCGTATGGTGAGCATCATCTTTGTCGAATTACACAATTATCATATTCATACTCAGCTGTTAGACTACTGGAGTACCTACCTGCATATGCCCTCTTCCAAATTGAATATATTTGTGGAAAGTTTCTCAAAGTACAGAATACACGGTCCACTTCACAACCATTCCATCTAGTTCTTCGTTGAGATCTTTCGTTTACTGGTTATATGGCTCATGATTATTGAGAATCCGTTTAGATACCACTTGACTTGCTTTTGGTTCAGTATCCTTTCCAGCTGTTAACCGCATTAATGCCTCCCTTATCGTGGACGTCTTTGACTGCAACAATACAAAATCGAGATGCTCTCCACCCAAGTGCCAGTCGAAGTGGCTTCGGGAGCTATGGGGAATCAACATCTATATCTACTCGAGTTAGAGAGGAGTCTCAGCACGATGTCAGTTTTGCTTCGATCCTTAGGCGCCGGACAACGATGTTATCCATCCCCAACACCTACACTGGCCCCCATACATCTGCTGGGATCGTCATTGGCGCTGTCCTAGCCGCCGCCGGAGGCTTTATCTTACTCTTCTTGATTCTCTTCTTCACGGTTAACCGTCGGGCGATCAGCGCATCAGAATCCGTTGTGGTTTCAGAATCCACTCGATCGAGACGCTCGCGAGCCCAATCTCGCCCACGACGAACCCCGGAAGTCGTCGACGTCCGGTCGAGTGTAACAGATTCGATGATGGAAGAGGATTATGTCGAAGTGTTTGAAGAGGAAGACTCGATTGACGAGCCGCCAAGAAGAAATAGGCGGTCGAGCGGCTACCGGACTGTCAATCCAAGAGAGTATGGGGGTGGGCACAGACCAATGAGAGAGGTGCGGCACTGAATTCGTGGGAGGTGTGAGACATATGAGCTCTCACCACAATGACAACGTATCATATATACTAGTCGACCTACCACGGGTTCAGCTTACAGCTGTTACTTTGATGGATCAAGCTTTACAAATCTATCTCAGAGCTCAGCTATGAAAAGTATGAGATCACGGAACAGATTTGCCAAGGGCAAAAATCCTAGCGACTTGGAAAGCTGGTGAATGAAATTGACAAAGTAAGTGGTCACTTATCTGATTTAGCCAAAGCGGCTTCTCGTATCCTATTATTTGGTTTCTTTGTTTGCTCCAGCTTCCTTTCAAAGAAGAAACCTAACGGGTTTTTTGACAGTGATATCTGAATCGGCTTAACTCTAAGAGTCAAAGTTGCTAGCAATAAGCCTGATAGGCCCATGAATGCCCCGGCGGTAACTTGGAGACAACAGTATCAGAAAACCCAATGGTAGTGGGAATAAGCCACAGTGCCCAAGGATTTCTCTTCACTGCTATTCAGCCTGACAATCTACTATCCATTTTCCACGCTAAATGCTTTCAAAATCTTGGAATTTGAATAATATTCCTTCGGCCTCGAATACATAGCTTCCCAACGACCTAGGTAGGTCTTTAAACTGCCCCTGGTATCTCACCCCCCTGATGCCAGCCGCCTCGACGTTGAATTCGACTATCCCCTCCGCCCTCCGTCGAATTCAATATGTCTTGATATCACCCTACGATGAAGTCTCTACCCAGAAAGGCCCGGGGCCTAGAGATTTCTCAAACGGATGTCCTCGTGCGGTTCATCTCCATCAATTCCACGACATTGCCATCGATTCTACCGTTCGAAACTACTGTCCGCTGATCCCGTTCAGTCCCACCGTTCTGGGAGCATGATATCCCACTTACCCGCCACCGGTCCCTTACAAAACGACGTTGACTAGGTTGAGATTTGACATGGAAGCTAGAGGGACAGACATAAGATTCAACTGGGAGCTTACGCGTCAATGGAATACCAATACTCTTATGAGGCTGCTGTCTCTCTGGTGAGGAAAAGGTCATGGGAGATGATGGAACCAGCTCATTCATGGGACTCAACTGATTTCAACATCTACCGGCATTGGTTTAAAGCAGGAGTGCGAGAGAGAGTGTTCCAGCCACTTTCAAGGATGAAGCCTCTTGTAAAAGGTTTTGTGGGCTACTCTAAGGGAGCTTGGATTTGATATATAGAGTGGCTTGGGTCTAGCTGATCCTTTTGTATATAAAATCTGGGAGTATCCCGCTCGACCTCCCCTTGTAAAACAATAAAAACAACTATACTGCTGGAGTACATAGCTTCCCATGGTATATATGTATGAAGTCTTAATCAAAGCTGGCGGGGCTATGGAGCAGTATCTAGGGTGTGAGCTAAGAGTAGAAAAACGCCATTTTCGCTGTTCCCAATGCAAAATTTCTCTTCAAAGTGACGATGCCCTTCGTCATGCAAAGCGCAGTATTTAGTGGTGGTCCATCCAGCAAGCGGCGCTTATTATGTAAGCAGTGACTTCGCCAAGCATGGCCCGTGTGGCTGTGCGGGTCTGGCTGACGTTTGATATCGCGCACGAGGATCTTCACCAACACAGCGGTTAGGACGGAGTTGGGTTCTAATATCGCAATTTCACAGGGCAGCCCCCGTTTCTTCGCCCTGACGAGTCTCCCTCCCTGGTGCTCACTAGAGAAATACTCTCATTTTTCCCCTTCCATCACCTTTTGAAGTGAAAATCGGGCCGCTCAAGAGCAACTACGAGCATTTAAAGAGCAATAATCATGGCCGACAAATATGTATGATTCCCTACGGGCCATCTATGGCTGGAAGTAATTGAGGCTAACTCTCCTGTGCTAGAACGCCGCTCCTCCCGCCTATCCTGCGCCCGCCCACACCGGCAACTACCCTCCTCAAGGCGCCGCGCAGGACTTCTACGGCGGTCAACAGCCGCAATATCCTCCCCAGCAGCAAGGCTATTATCCTCCTCAGCAAGGCTACCCACAACAAGGAATGTACTACGGGCCCCAGGGCGGTCAACAGCCACAGCAAGGTTACTACGTTGATGATCGAAGAAGCGGCATGGGCACAGGAATATGTGCTGGCATATTAGGCGCATTGGCATGCTGCTGCTGTCTGGATATCATCTTCTAAGCGGCATGGTCAACGAATGGGTGCTTTGGGCGACAGGTCATGGTTCCGACTTTCGGTTTCTTCTTTCTCACGGTGCTGTATGGTTAAAGTCTCAAGGGGCGTAGGGGTTTGTGCTGCACGTCCTCTTTTTTGTTTCTGGGCTGGTGATTTCTGTATTTTCCTGGTTCCTGGGAGCATCGTTATTTGGCTGGGTTTGGTGAATGTTTCTGCGGATTAGCCCACTCAATTGTGATATTGCAGGAAATCACAGGGTTGTCCCCACGTGCAGGTGTTCGCTCCATCTTCTGCCTCGACCTGCTACAGCTTGTACAGATGAGTTTAATCTTTCTAGACTCTAGTGTGTTTTTTAAGGGGATTGATTGTTCTTATTGATATTCATATTTCTGCTAATAGTCCATTGTTCCAACGCAAACACAATCAATTCTGTGGTAAGCTCCTAACTACCAGTTACAATTGCCAGAGTTTCCTACTCTTACTGCAATATTCCTCTCTCCTTCTACAATAATTCAATGCCGACAACTTTTATCCCTTCCAATTCTTCTGCAGCACTCAATTATTTCACAAAGCCCACAATTGCATGCTTTGTTGCACAATACATTGGCACTGCGTAAGTGCAGCGTAACCCTGCGATCCAGGTAATCAATATCACCACTCTCTTTTTGCTTCTTTGTGCTAGCGCTCGAATCGCCATGCGGGTGAATTTTATCGGGTGCTCGATGACCGAAATAGGGGCAAATACAAACATTGCCGTGAAGTAATACATCACAGAAATCTGGCGTAACTTAAAGCGTCCTACTATCTCGGTTGGTCGGGTGCATAAATGCACTTCATAGCATTGGTAGAAGTATACAGAGTAGTACTTCGGACGTAGCGATAGCGGAAGATCAAGAACTGGTTGTGACGAGGAATGAAACAGGACGAAATATGAGAAAATTGGGGTTATAGAATTAGTTTCTGGTATATCTTGCGCTTGTGGCTAGATAAGCAAACCTCGCCTAGGTCATTTCCATCGTTAGAGCGCAAAAGAACAAGGAAAAATGATAGTAACACAGAGAAAAAAAGCTCTTGGGAATTTTTGCCAGAGTTAAGAGGGCCAGAAATGCCAGGAAAAGAATTCACAAAGAAGACAAAAATGACCCATAACCGGGGCAGACGTAGGCAGAGAAAAGTAATGAGGATGAATCAATGTCCAGGCCTCGGAAGATCAACGCCCATCTCTGGAATGTGGGTTGCATACCCGCAAGAAGTCTAGTTTCCATCTTCAAGTTTGGCATCCTTGAGCTCTTCAGCGACATCGGCAATAGCATCTGTTTCTTGTCGGAGTTCAGCCTCAGCAGAAACATGGCCGTTGACTCCAGCGTTCTGGATTGCTGCCTTCTTTGCATGATCAGTTGAACCATTGACAGGGGTATCATCCTCCAACTTAGCCAGCTCTTCCTTTGCCTTTTTGATGTTCTACCAAGAATGTTAGTAGCTGAAGCTAAGGAAACATGTGCTTAAAGGAATACAACGCACCTCTTCGGTTTTGGCGGCTTGGTTCTTCTTCCAATCCTGAAGTTTCTCGACAAGCTTCTCAATCACGCCAGGGACATCAGATTGGGTCATAGGAGGGTCCACTTTGACTCGAGACAGCTCTTCGATGACACCGAAGCTTAAGTTAAACTGCGATTTAACATCGTTGGATGCTCCCTTCTTGCCCTTCTTGTTCTTCTTTCCTCCACGGCCAACAAAGTAGTCATCGTCACGGTCTTCCTTTTTGAGGACTCGGACCCCCTTAATGTTGGAATCGTCGACGGTTCGACCAACTTCAGCACGGAAGTTCCCAGATAATGTCTTCTTAACATCATCAAGGCCGAGAGACGACAAATCGTAGTTAGGATCAAAGTGACGAATGAGTCCTTGAGCGGTGAGTATTTCGTCCGTGTAGGCTGGTCGAGAGGCTTCCTCTAGCTTCTTGTCGGCAATCTTCTTCTTTCGCTCGCGCTCATACTTCTCCCGCTCAGCTCTTTGACGTTCCCGGCGCGCGTTCTCCAACTCGCGCTCATATTCTCTATAAGCCTTGCGACTGGTGTGGAAGGTATCCTTGATACTTCTGATCGAAGCACGAGCCTTTTGTGCCTGGCCTTGAAGCTGGCTCTTTTCCTCTCTGAGAGACTTGATGTTTTTGAAAACACCGTCTTGGTCGGCCTTGATGTCGTCCAGCTCTTTTTGGAGGGAAGTATATTTTTCGCTGAGTGCTTTTTGTTCCGGGTTGTCAAGCCCCTTTTTCAAGGTGGCCAGCTGGGTCTTGAGGTCGTCGATATGCTTCTGACTGTCTTCAAAACCAGAGAAGCCTTTTCGCTGTTTTCGCAGGTTTGAGATTTCTGCAAGAGCTTTCTTTTCGTCAACGAGTTTCATCATGCCAGAATCAACTTGCTTGTCGAGACGCTGAATCTCTCGGTCAATTTCTTCCACGTTTTTGAAGCCAACACGGCCTCGGGCGGTCTTTTGCTCGGCAATGCGAGCTTTGATAGACGAATCGAGGGCGGTGATCTTTTCCTGCAAAGTGACGCGTGACGCTTTGAAACCCTGTTGCTGTTGACGGATGGACGCAAGCTGGGAGCGGAGTTCCTGTTGCTTCTTCGCAACGGGTGAATCTTGGTTGTTTGGGGTCGCGAGATCGAGCTTCGACTTCACTGCGTCCTAGATAAATCCGAATAACTCGAGTCAGCGACCGTTTGAAGGGTATCAGAATAGCTAGTTACTAGAAAATGACAAACATACCAATTTTTGTTGAATCGACGCAAGCTCCTTTTCGGCCAGAGCCAAATCAGCCTTGTAGGCATCTTCATTTGGCTTCTCAGGCCTTGTGCCTTTCTCAGACTTCTCTGCTTGCTGAACCTTGGGCTCAGCAGCAGACGTTGGTTTGGCGACTGCAGCCATGTGGACAGCACACGACTAATCGATGGAACAATCCGGAATGTGAGAAAGTGGCAATGGGGGTTGTTCTATGGTCAATCAACCGTGCTAGGCAGACACAACCACCGATCGAGCAATTGAACTGCTAGATATGCCTGGTAGTGAAGGGGTTCGTTGTTCACACTTTTTGACTTTTCAGGGACGATTTTTGGTTTTTGGAAATCAAGTGCGAGTTGGTGGTCCGTGCGCCAGGTCACCTTTCTCTCCAGCTTGTTCATGGAGATGGATTTTTCCCAAGTGCACTCAGCAGTCACCAGCCGGGCACAAGCGTGAGCAGTTTGATGACAATATAGCTCTGCAACGCGCCCTACTTGACTTGATTCTTTTCTTGACTACGACTCCGCGCAGGCTTCAGCGCAGCTAGCTATGGCGGACGAGGATTTTTCACAGGCCTCTGCGGAAGCTAATCGCGAAATGACGCGGTTATGGCGCACATGGAAGACCGTCTTTGAAATGTTGCTCGACCGAGTAAGCAACTGGGATGCCGTGCTATTTACGAAAGAGGCTTTGCTAATCACGTCTACCGCATCGTAGGGCTATGAGGTTACTGAGGAAGAAGTGAAGATCTCGTTAAATGATTTCCGGTCAAAATATGCAGATACACTCGGCTTCCCAGAGTACGTATACGGTGTGTTTAAACCGAGAGAAGACCACAAACTAACACAGCGCGCCCAGTCGCAACAAGATGCGTATTAGCGCCCGTCCGTCTCAAGCCATGATCGAGAAATACACTCCCCTCCCTTCTCCCGCAAAACCCAATCCAGTCGCCGAATGTGGCACTATCTACGTCGAATTCTGCGCCGACGCCCAGGGTGTGGGAACCAAGCAGGTCCGCGCCTTCAACCACTTCGTCGACGAACAAAATTATCATACGGGTATCTTTATAACCCAATCGCCCATCTCTCCGTCCGCCGTTCGCTTATTAACCGGCATTCCCGGGCGGTTCTGCGAGCATTTCCTGGAGCAGGAGTTGCTGGTGAACATCACACATCACGAGCTGGTGCCGAAGCATTTATTGTTGAGCGCCGAAGAGAAGAAGAGGTTGTTGCATCGGTATCGGCTGAAGGAATCGCAGCTTCCCCGAATTCAGATCGGCGATCCAGTGGCCAAGTACCTAGGTTTGAGAAGAGGGCAGGTTGTAAAGATTATTCGGAAGAGCGAGACCGCTGGAAGATATGCCAGTTACCGATGGGTTACTTAAGTCAAGCTTGTGGGTGCATTAATAGTACCTTCAAGCAATGCTGTTTAAATGGCAGTTTATTACGATGTTGCAGGAAACAAATACCGGCGGGTCATGGGAGACAAAACGTGTGCATCTACGACAAGAGAACAGTACCGAGAAGATGACATGCGTTGATGTATTCCTTCTCATTTACTAGAGTTCGGTCAGATTTCTTGAGGTCGAGCATGATGGCGTACGGAGTGGTTTGAATTGCTCCATTTTTATCGATTCCACAGGAGTTTCTTTGGGCGAGGTGAAATTCCAATTCGAGGTCTGAGAGTCACTTCTAGTCAATGGAAAACGAACTGAAACTTCTTCATGACGACCAATGTCTATTCAACATGATAAGAAAATTCCGCTATAACTTTGCTCTAGTTGTATCCTTTCCACTCCTAACCACAATGCCCTTCTTCTCCCCATTCCTCTGTTGGTCCCGTAGAACTCGCCTCAAAATCTTTCCACTTGCACTCTTCGGGATTTCGTCTGTGAATTCCACCTCCGCAAGCCACTTATGCCTGACCTTCTTCTCCTGGACGTACTGTATAAGATTTCTTCCAATGGCCATGACGTCGTCACTTCTTCGGGCAGACTTCAAAACCACGTAAGCCTTGGGTTTTTCGCCTGCATATTCATCCGGTACGGCGAGGACTGCGGCATCCTCAACATCCGGATGTCCAAGGAGCAAGTCCTCCAGTTCAGCAGGAGCGACGCCGATACCTTTAACTTTGATCATTTCCTTGATGCGATCCGTTATTGTGATAAAGCCTTCTTCATCTATTTTGCCAACATCTCCGGTATGAAGCCAGCCTTCCTCATCAAAGGTTTCGCGAGTTGCTTTGGAATTATTCAAGTAGCCCATCACCACTTGCGGGCCTCGAGCAAGAATTTCACCGGGCTGGTTGTATCCGAGTTCGGCTCCAGTATCCGGGTCAATAATCTTAACCTCAGTGTTGGCAACAATGGTACCGACGCGGAAGGCGTACTCATAACCCATTTTCCCAATTGGGTGAGCGGTTATGCAGCTGCAAGATTCCGTCATGCCGTATCCTTGTTTGAAGCCGGTTCCGGGGAACTTCTTTTCTAAAAGCGAGAGGATCTCAGCACTGAGCGGAGCGGCACCAGACGAAAAACGTTCCACATGGGATAGGTCATATTTGTCGACGATGGGATCACGGACCATCCGAATCAAGATTGGCGGGACAAGCAGGATCTCCTTAATTTTAAAGGTGGAAACGGCGTCAAGCATGGCTTCCATAGAAAACGCTGGGAGCATATAAATTTCGGCGTTTAGAAGGACTGGCAAATGCAATTGATGGACGAGACCAGTAACTAAAAATCCGATGTTAAGAGCGTCTTCCACCCTAGGTTTAAGGCTAGGCGTCGCTTACTGTGAAAGAGCGGAAGAACCGCAAGCACTTTCTTATGCGTTTCAGGCGTGATCTGCCGGACTTGCAGGCACTGGGCAATGACATTTTGGTGTGCAATCATAACCTGTAGCCCAAGATTAATGTCCATTTAGATCAGGTCGAGGTGAATGGGTAGATGTCTTACCGCTTTCGGCAACCCCGTTGTTCCGCTGCTGAAGCTCAAAAATCCGCAAACATCTTTATTCTTTTTACCTAGGGGGATCTTGAATGATTTGGCCTGCCCTTCTGGACCGTAACTCCTCCCAATGCTCAGAAGATCTTTCATTGTCGTATATCCTTCCACTTCACCTTCAAGGAGGAAGATTCTATTTTGCGGAATACCTGCATTCTTCGCGGCCTCAACAGCAACATCCATAGAAGATGGCATAGTCATTAAAATTTTAGCTTGTGCCGTTTTGAGAGCATGTGTCATTTCTTCCACATTATATGCAGGAGAAGCACCGGACACAATCCCCCCTAGAAAGCGACAGGGCCCATGGGCGATAGAGTTAGTCGCGTATTCCATCTCACAGTTAAATGGAAAGCGACATGACACGATGGAAGAGAGAGTATAACAAACCTATCCTGATGGCTCCCAGCATAGCAACTGGGTACCATATCGTATTTTGGCTAAACAATGCCACAGTATCTCCCTCCTTAAAATCAAACATCTTCACCAGAGCTGTTGAAAGTAAAGTGGTATACTCTTTGACTTGAGTAAAGCTGATACGTTCTCTCGTGGCCGCATTGGTATACCCAGCAATCTCGGCTGCTGGAAACTTGGACAATGGGCAGTAAGGAGAGTATGGGTCAAACAGCCAATCCCAAACGGTGATATCCGTTGGGACTATGTGATGTTAGCAATTGGCAGAAGTTTACAGTATGGGATTGGGGAATAGCTCCTCGATAAGGGAATGGTATCGGGTGGAGGGCTCCTTACTGTCAAGGGTCGGATTGAGCGACTTGAATACCATCTTGGAAGCTGTCGTCAAGATTTTGGGAAAAGGAGAACGGCCTATTAGCTCAACAACAACGCTTTAAGAGACTGTACAAATGAAAGGTGTTACGGAATATTTAAATGAATCCGAGTAGCAAGCTGCCCCCGCAAATAAAAGCTTCTCGGATCCAAGCTACCATCCTGTTATTCGAGCTAGTACTGTAGCTTCAAAGGCTTCGGAGCGGAGTATATAGCATCTCAGCTTCTTAGCTCACTTTTTGAAAGCCGGGAGGGCACGCTATTTAGTGAAAGGGGCCAGGGTTTGGATCGGCCTGCACGGGTAAACGCAATCTTCCTGGCCACTTGATTGGCAGCAAGTGTATTGGTGGTTCAGCTACCATCCTGTGTTGCTTAACATTGGATATCATTGGCGAGTTTCCCCTCACAAGCTATGTCGGATCTCGGTCTGTCACTCCCACCATGGCTGGCGGGGAATGATGACGCTCCAATAGCCGATTACTGACAGAAGGAAAGAAAAAGGAATCCAGAAAGCAGCCGTATCACTTGGCATATATTGCTTTTCTGCATCTCAACATCATCCTCTGCAACTTCACTGGAGTTGAACTTGATGTCGACCTGGACGTTGAGGTCGATCGGATGGCGGCCGTAACAGGAATAGCGCCAAGCTAACCCGTTAGTCACCTAGTTAAACTTTCGGCGACGGCGAATCTAGATCCCGATACCAATTAGTAAGCCGGCCCTTCATCGCTCCAGCTGGATATCTTACTATTTGCTGAAACATCCCATGGTGACACTCATCATTGCCAGAATTCCCGACACCTGTGTCCAATTATACATATTAATATTTCTATATGAGACATGTGTTTCAATATATATGGAGTACAAGGTCAACCAGGCATCCTATTCTACCACCGATTTAACGCACCAACATAGAGCCAACCCTAAAACCGACTTTCCGCTTTAAGACCTCGTGGTACACCAGGCTTATCAGCATATGGTCATGGCATTTCTAGGAACCGCAGCCGGCCCTTATAGTTTTGCAACAGGCGGCATAAGTTTCAGATCCTGATGAGGAATATCAAGATAGTCCCACATAAAATGAAACCGGTCACTTCCAAAGAATGGCTCCGCATTTCCTTTACCGTCATGCACCCAGAACCACGGACAGCCGTATGCACCAAGGTCTTTTACTGCGTGTTCGGTATTGTCCGTAAGGACTTTCTTTATTTCTGGGTCGTTTCCGCCTTCTAGGACCTCTTCTGCTTCGGCCTCATCAAATACTTTACGGGCCGCAATCAAGAGATTCTCAGGCTTTGAGATATCAAGCTGTCCATTCCACATAGTCTCGAAGCATGATTCGAAGAAATCTTCGTATTTCTTCGGATATTGCTTTTTTGCAAAGACGAGACAACGTTGGGGCTGGAAGCCAATTAGCGCATGCGGGTGGTCAGTGAGCGATTTTACACACCAAAAGTGAGAGAATCGGAAAGAAGGACGGAATCTTGAAGCTCTTTCCAAAGTACTTCTGAGCCCTAGGCCCATCGTACTTTGCATAGGCTGCTTTGGCTGGGAGCGTCCACGGCGGCTTGTTTCCTTAAGATAAGTTTAGGAAGACTTCTTGATACGTACGGCGTGGCTTTTTGGCGTGACTTACCACTACCAACGTTTATACCCCCTAAGAATACAGGGGTGAATCTAGCAGGGTAGTCATTAGCAGTTGATTCAATCGTCACATACTGGCAACGGCCACCTACTCAACTGACACGCCCAATTCAGCCAGCGCTTGTTTATTTTGGCGAAGATAAGACAAGGCGAAAAAGCTGAACGGCGACACTAAGGAACCATGAGCATTTCGTCAAGAAGCCACTTCCTCCGGCCTGAACCTACCGCAGTCAATATAGCATTCAATCTTCTTTTGGCCCATTTTCCATAGACGTCTCAGCCCGCTACTCTTGATGGATAGAGATTACACATTGTTTTTGGGCATGAACCATATCTTTACAAGTTTTGACCAAAGTAACAACATGGAGTAACCGAGGCTCTTTTGGTCGGAAGATAAATCAATCCTATGGGTGCCACACGGAGTCACCGATCGAAAGTCCACATTGGCCGACAAATATCCGGAGGTTGTGATCAAGCCCTTAAACATAGATTCGGGCGTGGAACATTTGTTTATTAATCCGATAAAAAATATTGCTCCTCCTAAGGCCGCTGATGACGTTAAGAACCGAGGCATTTTAAGCTCCAGTGGTAACTTGTAAGGTTCCCAGCTTCACAAATACTCCAACCGCGGGGGACTTTGTTGCTTCAAACCAATAAATAATATTCATAATGCTGTTGCCATCGACTGGCGGTTGGGCGCATATTAGAGATAATAGACAAGTTACCCGTTAGATTATTCCTCATGGCCGATATTAGTTCCCGGCCGGTTGCCCTGGTGGTTGGAGCGTCTCGCGGTATAGGCCGACAGGTCGCCATAGATTTGGCGAGGAACGGTTATAGGGGTATATTGCCAATAAAGAGCATATGTCTTTCAAAGCTAATAAGTTTCCAGTCGTTGTGGCAGCGAAAAGCATATCAGATGCGTCCAAGACGTCCACGTTCCCACCGGATCCAAACTCTTCAGAGTCTACCATCAGCACTGTACAACGCGAAATCCAAGAGAATGGCGGCGAAGCGAAGAGCGTACAGGTTGACACCAGAGATTTCGCAAGCGTGACAAACATGGTGGATTCGACAGTAAAATCGTATGGCCGCCTCGACGTGATAGTGTATAACTCGGGGGCGATTTGGTGGTCATCGGTGGAGAAGACTCCCATGAAACGGTTTTTGCTGATGCAACAAGTAAACGTTGAAGGCTTATATGGTACTGTTCAAGCGGCCCTGCCGCATTTCAAGAAAAGTAATTGGAAAGCCCGAATCATTGTTGTTAGCCCGCCGATCTATTCGAGATTCTTTCGAGGGAAGACCGCATATGCGATGGGAAAAGTGGCCATGTCGGTACTAACAAAAGGCCTTGCCATGGACTGGATAAGGGAGGGAAAGCGTGAGATGGCTATCACGAGCATCTGGCCTGCAGCCGTAAGCTTCCGTCGCCATTCGGTAAAAAAGCGCTCACACAAGAAAACCAGGCAATTCAATCTGCTGCTACTCCCGACCCGAATTATCAACGAGACTTGAGATTACCGGTAGGCCCCCAAAGGCTACGCGCCGTTCAACGTCGGTGGGCTTACACAGATGATAGACGATCTTCTCCGATGCCATTCTGGCCATGCTTCGCGCCCCTGCCGAAGAGGTTAACGGCTGTCTTGAATTAGACGAAGATTTCCTTCGCAAGAAGGGCGTTTCTGACTTCTCACAATATAGCCTTGTCCCTGGAGCCAATCCACGGCGAATTATGCCAGCTCAACTACCGGATTTAACGGTTGCTGAGCAGAACGATGAAGGACGCCGGGTAGACAGTACTGAACTCCGTCGTGGCTCGAAGATATAGTCCGGCACAATTGTATAAGTTAACAGGTTATTGAACCGTTTGAACAGTAAGCGAGAGATATTGCGAAATTTGGGAATGGAGGTCTCTCAGATTGGGTACACGATTCCTAACCCTTCACCTGCAGTAGTATCAGCCCCAGAGACAGAGGACGTAACTAGTGCTTCAGTCAAAAATATCCTCGGTGCTCACTGACTTGTTACTCCGTGGTTAACTAGGTAACAAGTAGCTAAATGCCTTCCTTGCAGGGATATGAACCTATATAGCTAATCCCTGCATATAACTATGGATTTCAACGCAACGTCAGGTGTCAATGAGTGAAGCACTGCAAAGCCAAAGGACGCCATCCGACATGTAATTCCGTTAACTGATGCAGCAGATGTACAGAGTAGCTAGATACATAGTCACCTCATTAATTACTACTTCCAGCTCAGAAAAAGTGACATTTGCGATTTACAAGATTACAAGGCCAAGTATCTATGCCGGTTCGGTTTATATGTTGACTCCATACTCCATAAGTTAGCACTTCTGAATTCACCACACGGTAAATCGAAAATTGCCTTCTGGGCCCAGCCGGTTGTAACTTGGTCCAGCGTAACGAGTACAGCTGAACCCCTATCCTGACCATTGTGGTCAAGTGTAGCCACAGTGTTCCTACCCCCTTAATTGAGAAGTTCACGCTATCGCCTTCTCCTGAAGCTGAGAGACAAGAGAGGAATTCGGCTCTCCGTCTGGGAAGGACTGGATTTCCGTCCGTAAAGGACCACCTGCTTCTCCAGCCCCTACTGTTCCTCCCCTGGATTGAATAACTCACGCTGCTCCCTGCCCTATAGATGACAAAGGAGATGCCCTTTCCTAGCTAAAAGACTTAACCTCCTCCTTCCAGGAAGGGTTGAAATTCCCCTCTATAAAAGGCCGTCTGCTTGTTCCTCTCCTGCACTCTTCTCTCCTCCTTTTTCTTCCCATGTGTCACATCTGCTTTAACAAATACTCAAGCTTTCCATTTTCATCTCCATTTTCACTTCATCTTTCAATTATGTCGACTTACGCGAACATTGTGGCCACCTTGGCAATCGTGGTGGCAGTGTTGCCCGTAGGGTCCTGGATTCAGCGATTCCTTCCATGGCTGTGGCCGCGCCAGGAAGCACCGCTGGTCCAGCTACCCCCTGAGCTGCAAGAACAGTTGACTGACTTGCAATTGGAGCTAGACGAGGTTGCGCAGGAGGTCCACGATTTACGCGGATCAAACTTGCAAAACCTCGTGACTGCTCTCGAAGGTGCTGGTACGGCATTGCGCGAGTATTCGGTGTCTGAAAGCTCAGGGACGTAGGCCACCACGTTGCCCTCTCTCCTCTTTTTCGGAGCGGCTCACTCTGATGAAGGTTTAGGGGAGAGCACCAGCGATGAGCTCGCACTTCTGCGCAGTGCTGGTGACTAGTAGCCCTTCGGGGCGAAGCTAAGACGAGCTCGACCACATCGTGAAAGCCGCCTACCCAAGGCTAGTTTTCCGAACGCGCTTTAGGAGAAAGGTATAATGGCTGGACTCGAACAATCATTTAAGGTGATTTTTCAACCTTCTCGACGCCGTTGTGTTAGCCTCCCAATGAAAAGCGTGTGTGGTACAATACTGACCATCTTTTGTCATTCAAAAATCGGTACGTCGTAACGGTTCGGCCACGCCATCCATCAGTCACCCGATGATTTACATACCCAAACTTTCTGATAGCTTTGAACGAGTAAATCAACCCGCGGGGACCAGATGTGACTTTGAGATCCTTCCATTCGGCGTTGCAATCTCGGCACCAACATGGGCAATTGCAGCGTTTTTGTCTCAAATCTAAAAGACAATCTGACACTCTCCTGTCACAGCAAACGGGGATATCAAGGCGATCTGTTGGTGCGGGATCAAACGACTCCGTTTGTAGTCGATACTGAGATTCAATGGCAAGGCCATTCTTAATGCAAGGAATTGTTTTTATGTCAATTTGTCCCAGCTTGGACGCAAATGAACACTCATGGGAAAGAACGCGCTTGGCGCAGTTATACTCGAACCTTGAAGTGTTATCGTGGCACGAGTAGCCGATAGTTATATCCCTCAAGCGAGTCAAAAGGTGGACACAATCTCTGAAAGTGAATCGAGTGCAGGGACAGAGATTTATTATACCCATATGAAAGCCAAGTTCACAATACCTGCGAGTTCGTTCGACTTGCAAGTAATAACTTGAGAATTCTTTTGCCGGATGGAGTCGGAGGCATTTGGAACAATACCGCCAGCGCACGTTCTCAAGGAGTCCCAGAAGCTCATACCTTGCCAGCCCTGGCCTGTCGGTATCGCGGTAGCGCAAATCGTTCACGAATATGCGTGGGATACTAAGCTCGTCCTTCCAAGCGCTGGAGTAAAGGATACGGAATAGAGCTTTGCAGGTTAATGCTAGGCATACCTGTGATTCCAGGGGAAGAAAGGATGAGATGTGAAGTTGGAGTTCAACGGGTAGCTGTAGGATTGTCAGACGCTGTCGTCTCCGGAGTAGCAAAAATAAACGGATTAAGAGGTTAAACAGGTGCGGGAGTATAGGTGTTGTCGAGAATGCCATGCTTGGAACTGCGTCGAGTATATTGAAGTCTTCGGTTGGAAATTTCGCGTAAGAAGTGGGAAGTCCAGGGAGGGTCCTGCGCGGTTGATATTTAACTAACCGCAATGTCCGTCCTATTCGTCATTGATCATACCAATCCATGGAACAAGTAGTTATCCTTGACCTAGGTCCTTAAATATTTTCGAGCAGCCTTTGTGTCTGTAGTTAACTAGTTAACCTTGCTGCACTCCCCATTAGAATTCGGAGGCTTGGAGATTGTGATGCAACGAAATGCTGATAGCAACCGTCAGCGATTCGCTCACTAGGATGAAGCCAGGCTGGAGAGCTTCATTGTATGGATGTACTTGAGCAACGATTTGCCATTGATACGAGATAACTATCGCAGTATCCCGAAATCTCAAGACTTCAATCCCGTTTGGCGCTGCAAACAAGCCTTGACGTAGCCGCAGTCAGTTCGGAACAGCCGGCTGGTCGGAACCAGTATGATGCCTGAATCAAGCATGGGCCCAACGGGGGGGTTATGAGTTGGCCCAGCCTTTGAAACACGCTGGATTTAAAAACAAAATAGATTTGGTTAAACCCCAGGCAAAATTGGGTGGCCTTGAGAAAAAAAAAAGTCGGGATTTCAGCTCAAAAAGACCATGGTGACCTCCAGAGGACCAGATGTAACTAGTTAGTGGTACTCTGTAGTTTAACGCGAGTTTCTAATCCCTGCTCAACCAACGATTTCAGTTATTACCAAAAAGTTCAAGAGACCGAAACGGCAAAGGCGTCAACAAAGCGGTTCCGCCCCCCCTGGGTCATCGCAAAAATTGATGAATCAAAACATGTTTCCAGGGGATGAGACTTGAACTGTCGCGAGACTGTTTTTTGGAAAGCCCGAAATCTATGTTAACTATCTCCCCCCCTGTTAACCAAGGTTGAGGAAATGCCGGTTAGTTACTAAGGTTTCTCGGTGTGAGAACAACAGCCGCTCGGCCCGGGAAGCTCGGAACAGGGGGAAACAACAACGGAATTTGGCGGGTTGCAACACAATGCTGGGGGGGCATTTGGAACAGCTGGCAAAGACTGGATTTTTTGAAACAAAGTCGGATGGATATTGAAGTACGGAAAGTACATACATTAATTCTAGAATGCGACGCACCGGTAAGGACCAAGGTTCCCTAACGGAAAATATGTCCAGAGAGATTGGGCAGGTAACTGGTTAGTTAACAAGTACTCCGTTCTGGACCGGTTTGGCAAAAGGAAAAGTATTCCTTCCAAACAACGTGGGACACGATGAAGTCCAGTAAAGGACCACCAAAAATATGGTAGGTGACGAATTCAGTCTTCATGGGGTAGAAAAAACTCCACCCGGCAAGAACATAGTTAATGCAGCAATTGAAAAGCCGGGCATTGGGAACGCCTCGAGCTTTGGCGCAGATCAAAACCCCCCAAAACTCCTTTCCCCCCTACGGCGCCATCAAACCAACACGCGCAATATAGGACGACTGTTCGCTGTCGACTATGCATGCACCCAAGAGAAATATATGCCGTAAACATGGTATGTGCAGATTGCCACCAAGATTAGCAATTTCCCCAGGAAAGGATGTGAAACAAAACCATGAACCCCATAATAGTACAGATGAATGGCCGCGATAAGGAGCCCAGCCCTCCAACACCGTCGCCAAAACCCAGATTGTATCAAAAAAGAAGAAAAAGAAAGACGTAACGCGTGGCATGTCGTACTCTTGCTCTGATAGGAGCTGGAAAAAAGTAGGGGGTATGTGAGGTAAACCGGCCGGGTATAGAGATAGAACGGTATCGGAGGTTGCCAAAGACAGGTTAGCGGTGTGGATTACGTTCAACATCATCGTTTTGCCTCAATAGCCCGCCTAGGTCTTGAAGCTCTGGTACAGGCCCAGCTTGCGTTGGATATGTCCGTCCCTGCCTGGTCCGTTGCGAGGCACTTGGTGTTGCTGTTCCCGAGGAGTTTTCTGTGCCGTTGGGCCGTCCTGCACTCGAGAGAGTTGCCGTGCCCGGGCGTGAGAAATTGCGGATGTTTTGGGGTGGAGTCCCGTGAAGCGATGACTGTGAAGACCCGGAATAGGCGGGCGCTGGTGAGAGAAGGCCGCTTACGGCGTTTAAGAGAGATCGACTGCGAGTTAGGTGCTGGTCTTGAAGAGTAGACTGTGGCTGTGGATGTGCGTCACGGTTGCGCGTTAGGTCTGTTGGAGAAGGGGGATCGAGAAGGCCGCCAACGTCGTTCAGGGAGACTTTGGATAAGGACATGTAGGATGGAGGCATGGTCGTATCTTTGGGGGAAGGATGGGAGTTGGTTTCTATATACTCGTGAGGATGTATCTTTAGACCGCCTAGGCTATCAGTTGTGGACGTACGATCGTCATCGGCATTATTAGATTGAGAGAACGAGAATTGCCAGTTCGGATCAATCGAGCCACGCTTAGCCACGTGAGCACTCGGGAGGGCAACAGGAGCTGGGCGGATCTTTTGGTAGCTAGGAGAACGAAGCTCTGGGTCCAGGCGGATGCCTAGGTCTCCCACGAGGTCAGCGTCGCTCCCCCAGTGATGATGGGTTATAGTTGCTCGTCGTGAGGACGTCTGCTCGACACTTTCGGTTAAGGAACCAGCTTTGAACTTTTGCTTCTTAAGTCCCCTGTCGCGAACAAAGGAGCCGATAACGATGGCATTGGAAACTGCGGCCGCGGCGAGGATTTCAAGAGAAGCGATCAACGAGCGGTACTGTTGCGACCCATGGCGTGATATTACGGACGGTACGCGATAGCAAGTGATAGCGACCAGAATTAAGGATAAGCCGAATAGGAGGGTTAGTGATACTTTCCGCTTAGTCGGCATGACTGACAGAAAAATAATGGGTATGGGAAAGGCGACAAGTAAGAGATCGGTGATGACATCGCAGGTCCCCATTGTGATCAGCTGGGCGTAGCCTTGACGGCATTTGGGGCCAGGATCCGGAACAACTTGCCAATAGTGGTCGAATGGCTGGCATTCTGTCAGCGTTGCGATGATGACCGCGATGAAAGTAACGAGCAGGAAATAGCGGATGCCGACGAGAACATGCTGAAAGGAGCGGCGCCATATCTGAGCCGTCAAGCGTTTAAAAAACGCTGTGACGGTGAACTTGGCTGTCCAAATGCTGTAATCAAGTTAGTGAACAGTTCATTATGGTCACAAAAATGAATCGATGTTCAAGTGAATTTGAAAGCCAGATTGGAGATGTGGGAAAGTTCTCACAATAGTGCATAGAAGATGCGGGCCCCCAAAACCATTCTGCTCCCATACTCCCGTTGAAGTATATCATGTTCCGAGAAACCCGTGGTGATCGCGTTGTTGGTCCCCCAAAGCAGAACAACATGAACAAAGCCCATACGGATGAGCAGAGGTAGGATGCTCAAGGCCATCACCCAGTCTTCCGGAAATAATCGTTCCGTGCGGATGTATCGACCGAAGACCCGCACGAGAATAATGGCGAGGGAGAATCCCGTTGCCCACCAGCTCACCAGCAATGTCGGGTTCGTCTCTTGCCTCGTCTGAGCGTCGGGAGGGGAGGAGTACAGGCGACGGGCGAAAGCCGGAAGGGACTCCATGACCGCTGAACCGCCTCCGTAGAGGGGTCAGGAGATGGGAAAGCAAGTCTTCAAGCCAGCAAAGTGGTTCACGCAATTCGAATAATCATCATAGACCACATTCGGGTGTCTCCAGCGCTCGACACTCCCAGATCTGTTCAACATCCGGCCACGTCCTCTACCCACGTTGACACCATGGAAGTCGCAAAAAGCCAGGTCAGCTCACGGCCTTCGAGTTATCGAGTCCATTAACACCGTATTTTTGACTTCGTAGCAGGGGCGACAAATGGCATCACCATGCGGATAAAACAACCAGCCACGACCGTATGGCCCCGCAGATCAATTTTGCTTCCTTTTTTCAGTTGGTTGTTGCCGACAGGAGGAAATGACAGCCAGATAGAGCGAGAACCGCAGGAGCAAAGGAAAATGGAGAAGTGGTGCTGGTTTAGGGCATCAGGTTCGACGAAGCAGGCCGGAGTCGCAGGCGACGGGGTACGATCGCAAGGGAAGAGATGGGTCAAGATCTCCATCCTTCGACGGACCAGGGATATAGATGTGTATTTGAACGTTTGAGAAGTGGAGCAAACATCGAATGCAATTGGTGGAGACGATGGAGAATACCTCGATAACCCTGGATAATAAATAAGGACCATGCTTGGTATCACCGTTAATGAATCGTGGGCGCTGGAGCAAAGACGAGCTAGAGCCGGGCTGGGGTGCGACTAGAGAGTTGGGGGTGAAAACACTCGACCTGGCTCCAAAATTGGGTCCCGTTCCACTCTCACCCCGATACACATCGAGAGGGCGAAAGCCGCAACCAGCGGTGATGGGAACCAGCGTCGTGGCGGCTGGCATCAACCTCGTCAAACCCATTGTTGGGAGGCTTGTGTCTGCGGGATGCTGCTGGACGGCAGTTCGCAATGGCCTGACCGACTGTGACCAAGTAACTTACCGCTAGTCAGCCACACGAGACGGAATCCCGGAATTTGGTTGTGGGAACGTGACTTGCGTTACGGAGTACCATGGTTAGAAATGCACTCATTGGCCGAATTTTCGTTAATTTCTCCGTCCCTGGATTCTGATTGGACCGATGGATGAGAGTTGGAGTGTGGGGTAAGAAAACGGTGGGTATCGGTAACACGAGCACGGTAAATCTCACAAGTACCTGAGGGCTCATGCACTCCGCAACACTGGAGAAACGGCGTCTCGAGGTACTTCACGCAGGCATTGAAAACTTTAATTCCACGTGTCCTGTAACCGGTTGTGTAACGTACGGTAAGTGCCTGTCAAGCTGCTCGAAATTATTACATACATCGTTACCTCGTTACACGCAGGCAGGAAGACGCCCTGGCTGAAGTCATCGGTACGACGCTGTTTCACCGACAGGCCGACATCTCGAGATGGCGCAACAACTGACTATCTGGACTTGAGCGATGCCTGGCTCATCCTCCATTTCAGACGTTCGCGCATGGACCATCGTCCCAATGCACCCCCAACCTCCTCGCCATTCCCATGAATCGCCAGTTGGCGGTCGCGGCCTGTGACAATCCCTGTCGACATGAGCAGTCACGAGCTAATCCAGCAACCCTGCCGCCATTCTCAATTCCATTTTTTTAGCGTTGTGTTGGCGATTGACAGGGAAAGCCGTGTGGAGACAAAAACGCAAAGGCAAATCCATCGCCCCTTTTCCTCGCCTGTCGCGATTATGGATGAGCATGACCTGACCATGAGCCTCAGCCGCTCCGCTCCGCTGCAGTGCAACAACTCCAACCACGGTCCCAAGAACAGCAACCCAGGTGGTGAAGACCAGGACAGAGGAAAAATGCTTGAGCATAAACGGGGGTTGGGTCGCCAGCATAGCTTTACCAAGAGTGATTCAGAGTTCCCCTCAGGGGCTTGGATTCCAGATTCCACGCTGCGTAATCTGTTAGCCGAGACCTGAAATTAGGAGGCTTTGATGAGATGAAAATGGGGTTTGAAAACATCATCGCCTTCTTCTTCCGCCTTTTGTTTCACGCCATGCGAGGAAAGAGAGGAAGAGAAGCAAGAGTCCTTGCATTCACATTGGCCGAGTCGTTCGAACCCAACATGAAATCCAATCCAGCCGAACCAACTACGAGTTACGAACTAAAATAAAAGTAACATTCCCAAGTTGCCTGCTGAACAACTGACGAGAAAATTTTAGCATCTTAAAACGCCAAATATCAACAGGGGTCTGACGGTTCGAGGACGCCCCAGCCCAACCGAAGAGACCTGCTTTTTTTGGGGGTGAGGAACAGATCATAATATCTTAAAGGTTTTCGGTGTCAACTGAGCAATGTCGAGCAGTCTACGGAGTATTTCGCCAGAGTGCAATGGAATGGCTTTCAAGCCTTCGTTCTGATATAGAGGCAGATCGAGGAAAATTCCTGACTTCGCCTGGCTCTGTTCTAAAATCGCCCGACTGCGAGTCGATTAAGCCATTCTGGTCGTTAATTCTCCGCAATGACGATCGCTTCCTATTCGACCCGCCCACCAACACCGCTGATTTGTTGGATGGCGTCTAATCTGCTTCAAAAGCTGTTGATATCAAACCCTGCAATGAGCTCTCATGTTGGAGGGTCATGATCATGGTCTCATCTGAAGGAATTCAACGATCCAGAGGACACTGAAGACTGAGGAATGCTTGGCTTCCCAGTTGTTAACTTCTTACCAATGCCCATTGACTAATACGTCAAGATTCTGGACTGTTGGCCCGACAAGAGGGATTGCGGGGAACACTTTTGCCACCACCAGCTGTTGTTGAAGTCACAGTGGACGAGGATGTTGTGGGCCTTCAACCAGACAAACCGAAATCTTCCACGACTTTTGCCACGAGAAGTTCGTTTTTGCTGATCTCCCGGCCATCAGACGACAGCGTACGGCATTCCCCTCTCCAGTCGCCCCAGGGGGTGGAACCTGGGGAAAGCTCTGTTGCTGGTACAGAGTAGTTTACTTGCCTCGGCATCGCGATAGTAGATGGCCTCAGAAAGAGGTCAACTAAAGCCTAACCAACAATTATCTCACTTTACGAAAGCTGGTTGAAACCATGACTTCGTATCTCATCAATTTTATTTCAAACTGGCCTCAGAGACTCGACGGCGAAGACGAGCGATAAAACAGAGGCCAAAGCAATGATCGAAGGATCCGAGTAAAATGGATGTTATGTTCAGTAACTACAGAGTACTCCGTACCTACTAACAATCACATCTGCAGCAATAACTAGTTAACTAATAAAGCCTCCCCGTTTTACTCGTCGCCGCCGAGGCGCTGACAATTGCTCAACTCATCCGGAGGACTCAGAAGCAACGGCAACAAAACCGAATTGTATTGGTAAACTAACTACAAAAGAGCGCGAACCCGAAAGAAAAAGCAATTCAGCTGATCCCGTTACCTGCTGGGGTCTCAAGTGCTTCGCTCGAGTCTGACCAACATCCCTTGTGCTCTGGTTCTCCTGTGACCTCTCCTCGGGTGAGATCCAGCATGACAGGGTTGATCGCTGCTGTTTGAAAAGGAGAAGCAAATCAATCTAGCCGTCAGCGCCCTCACAAGACACTGGACAGCGAAGAACAGTGCGCAATCCTGACCCTTGACTCAGATTTGGTGCTTCGGTAACAACTTTGCGTGTGCATTATTCTTGCTGAATGACCAACAACACCAGGACCAGGTATGCCTGTGTCTTACAACTTGCTGTTATGGCATTTCCCATGGAGCTTTGATCGCATATTGGATTTTCCACTCCTGCCTGCATGCACAAATCCGATTCTTGCATCACAAAAGGGAGCGGAGAGTCCAATGGAGACTGGACGAATAATCCTGGCCTCAAACAAAGCTTGATGATCTCATTTGATGGCATTTGTTTCGTGCTGGCACTCGCGGCCCAATGCAGGAGAAACAGAAAGCACCTTTTCATTTGCCAAGGTTAACGGAATAATGCGAAATTATCATGCACTTTCCGTCGCATTGGTTGCGAAGCCTTAAAAAAGAAGAAGCACAATGGTCCAAGACGACAAGTTCGAAGACACCTGAATACTGGATGCTTGCAAGATGCCGACGAACGCGAGCTCCCCCATGCCCAACTATTGGCCCTTTACTGCTTTTGGACGAGGCCCAAGCTCCTGAGTCCCGAAAGGGGGATTCGTAAGTGAAATTGGATGCCTGAAGACTGGGGGTTCGCGAAGCTATGCATGCACCTCTCTTTCCCCTTGATAGTTTGCCGCTCTGAAGTCGTGATTCTGCAGATCATAATACCTCTTGCGGTCGGGCTGATACGAAGCAGCTCTGATCTTTGCTCCAGACATTCGAAAATCTCGGTTTAAACCCCTGTCCGCTGATGGACTTGTCTACCAATCTAAATACATGTCCTCTAGAAATAACTGAAGCGAGATGCCAGCTACAATCTTGCCCTTGGTTGCGTTTCCAACTTTGAAAATTGCTCAAAGAATTCTAATGACTTTGGGTTCGCCACTGTCGAGCTGACCTGCACCCTCTCCCCGCTGATGATTCTTTTCACTGGCGTCTCGACTTTCTTACCATTAATCGTCACGGGGATCTCAGGCACTTCAAGGATAAATTTGGGCACGTGTCGTGGTGATAGGCCTGTTCGAATGGCGGAGCGGAGTCGTTGCTCCAGGCCATGGCTGAACAGCTGGTTGTTCCGCATTTTGACGAATAGGAAAACAACTTCGTCTGTGTCTTGCTTTCGACGGCGGCCGACACAGAGAGTATCTTGAATCTCGGAGTTGAAAACTGGGCCTTCGGAAATGTTGTAGATTTCTGAACTGCCAAAGCGGATTCCGGAGGGATTCAGGACGCCATCACTGCCAGAGCCGAGCAATTAGTCGGATCGGTCTGCAAGAGTTTTCGTTGATACCCCTACCTTCTACCATGCATTGTTATGCCACCGGTGATGGGATCCACGTTTATCCAGTCATGCTGAGCCCAAACGCATATATGATCGAATCGTTCAAAGTATGAAGATTTGTATCTTTTGTTGTTTTTGTCTCCCCAAAGAAAGACGGGCATTGATGGGAAAGGAGTCGGGCAAACCAATTCGCCTGACTCCCCGGTCTGTGAGAGAAATTGTCAGCAGGCTATCTTTCAAAGGGCAGTGCCGCAGTGGCGTTACCCACCTTGGTAATGTCGTCTCCGGTGTTCGCATCGGCAACATAAACATCCATTCCGAGTGCAATCATTTGCATCTGACCCGCGTATACGGGCCCTGACGGGTCAACCGATATCCCTGCATCACGAACGGTCAGCAGTCAATCCACATCTCCCTCCTACGTGGAGTTACCAACATGATGTGACGATATCTGTTCCTCCAGCAACACTACTGAGATGGATATGCGGGAATGCTTTATAGAACCATCTAAATTGATCCGAGGTCAAAGTCGCGCCAGTGGTTGTTACAAGTCGAAGGGAGCGGAGATCGTATGCTTCACGAGGGATGACCTTAGAGGCTTCAAGCTCCAGAAGATACCGTGGAGACGTGCCGAAATATGTTACCCTGAGGTGAATCAGCACTAGTTTCTGGGCCTTGGGAGTCCGAACACGATACTGACCTAAACCTTTCAATGATTTTGAGCATAGTCATCGCATCGGGCCACAATGGGGAGCCATCATAGACCAGTACAGTTGCGCCAACCGCAAGATGGCCGTTCATGATATTGAAAAGCACCCACGACGTGCTGGAATATTGGAATACGACCTCTTTAGGCCCCAGAGAATAGTGCAGCATGGCAACTTTCTTGAGCTGGATGATAACCCCGTGGTGGTGCACGAGGCACTTCGGCTGGCCCGTTGTTCCACTCGAGTATAGGATGAATAGGGGATATGTGAACGGTACTCTGTTGTATTCCAGCCTATCGGAATTGCGAGCCATTGCAAGGAAATCGCTCACGAACGGAAACGTCGAGGTACTCCGACTAGTAATCGGAATGCTAAAGACCTTCATAGCTTGGGGTAGCTTTTCGACGATAGCCTTGATCTTCTCGTCAAGAGGAGTTTTCCTCCCCTTGTATGACATATCGCTGTCCGCAAACAAGATGGTAGGCTCAATCTGTTGCAATCTCGTAACGCATCCCTAGGCAATTTCTTTCAGCAAATTCCCCCGGATCATGGTTTCTAGTTAGACGTACAGCTTCGCCCATATCCGGCGATATCGATGAGAAAATTGCACCCATTGACGCGGTCGCCAGCAAGAGCACAATCGCCCAGATTGACGTAGACACAATCGCAGCTACACGGTCGCCCTTCTTGACGCCACTCCGAATCAGCGCACTCCTCACTTGCCTGACTCTTTCTCTCAACTCCCCCCAGGTCACATTCTCCCCGTTCAAAAAATCAGACTCCCTCAAGCCAATAAGCGCAAGCGCGTTGGGATCCTTCCCTTCCAGCACATTCTCCGTATAGTTCAATTCCACTCCCTCGAAAAACTGCGGAACATCACTAATCTTCGCGGACTCATCGAATGCACGCGTGATATGCGACGGTAGCTCTGGGATCAACCCAACATAGTCATACAAGTCGACCCAGAAATCATTGGCCTTCTTGACGCTCCATTGCTGGAGTTGGTGGGAGTTTTCGAGCTGGAGGCCGAACTTGTTATTCACATGCCGACGATAGTCGTCGATGGGATGCTGGCCTATGTTAGGAGGAACCCAGAGTGGTTGCTGACGGCCGCCGTCGGACATCTTTTGCTCTCGAGATTCACAGTGGAAATGGGATTGGAGCACTCCGGATGCTTCGTTTTTGTTCGTCTTTAATTTGCCATCGTATTAGATGTTTGATCGAGGGCTCCATGGCGCATTCTAATACCTGACTGTCCGCAGGGTCACGTCGTTGAAAACGATGGGCCGTGGAACAGGCACACGGCCCGGCGGTAAGTACCTCGGGCATTGTTAACTAGTTAGTCCTAGTGATATCAGAGAATGAAAACCGGCTTCTACGACACCGGCAATTATCATATCTATGGACGGAGGTAAATTCGCAACCGGCTTTCCTTAACTATCGAATGGTTTTATGAGATTGTGCAGCGAGCTGTTGCTTTTACCACCGAACACTCCCACCTAACTAGTTAACTACAGTAACTACGGAGTAGTTAGTTAGGCGATCAAAAGTTTTGGCCACGAACCCAGAATTTCCACCCCGCCAAAACCACCCCTAGATTCGAGACACAGCCAAAAATCAAATTTAAGAGGGAATACTTTCAAATTAGAATATATTGTATGGAATCCATTGTATTTTAACATATATTAATTTGAATTTACTCAATCAAGTCAGTAATGAGTTTGCCATACTCTTGATCAAATTGACCAAAATATTCTTAGAACATATCTCTCATATCTTAGTCTCTTAGAGATAGCTTCAGTCATATCTTTTGCTGCTTCACCTCTTCCAAATACGTTTCCAAGCTCTGGAGAGTGTAAATGTATGTATTTCTTGATCTGAAATCAACAGTGTTCAATTGGGTTGAGATCAGGACTGCCGAGTGACCATTTCATCACTGTTGTGCCATGATCTCTCAGTCAAGTGGTTGTTAAACATGCTGTATGAATAGGGGCATTATCTTGCATGAAAATAAGGCCAGATTCCCATATTGAAAGGAGGTTTTCTTCAAGAATTTGAATATAACTCCTTGCTGACACTCCACCACATTTACTTGCTTCATCATATGGAACATTGGAACCAGGTTGAGTTCAGAGCGCTTGGTACTTCGAAATGCTGCCCATACCATAATGGTAAGGTTTTTGCCTTTATGATATGTTTGAATTTTGTTCTGATCTCATCAAAAGCTCCATTCTCGGCAGCCCCCTGACCCCTGTTCCATTCTCATAAAGACTGGAGTTGCACGGAAAGCATGGCGGAGAGGTTGTTGCTGTTACCTACCTACCCAAACCGGATGACCCCTGGTTGCGGAACATCGTTATTCCGGTACTCAGGGGTAACGTCGACCTCAACCTCAACCCTTCAACATCGACTCGACATCAACGTCAACTGTTTGTTCTGCCTTCTCCTCCAAACCACTCTCGGCCTCTTAACTGTCATGAGAAATCGACTCAGGGAATGGCTGTACAACCGCAAGCGTAATCGTGTGGACCGGATGCCGGATCCCCCTATGCCGACACTACCTACGATTCGCGCGCGGCCCTTGACTGCAACGCCATGTTCACCCTCAGCGACGGCAAACAGCAGTTTCTTCCAACGCTTGCCCTTTGAGATTCGGCGCCTTATTCTAATTGAAGCTTTCGGAGAGCGCGTGTTACATTTTGATCTTCGCTTGATGCACCCGGTGTCAAAGCGACCGGAGCACCAAAATTTGACCAAACCAACCCACGCAAGGCTCCCCAAATATCATGATGTTACCAAACCTCGGCAATGGCAGTGGTGCGGCAGTGTTTGCCATGGGATCGTTGCACCTGTCTGGTCCGACTGGCCGTTCTGGGCTCGTTCTGGCGGGAACTGTTGCTACAAGGGATACGACGACTTCTGTGACTGCTATCCTGGGGAGGCGCCTCTCAAATGCTTGATTGGTGCCATGGGGTGGCTCTTGGCATGCCGACAGGCATACATTGAGGGGATCAGTGTGCTGTACGAGACAAACCGACTACGTATATGGGGAGCTGACCTGACAAGTCGTTTGCCGGACCTCCTGCTACCGCAGCGTTGTGTGCAGATCAGATCCATCGAGCTAACGTGGACCGTTAATGTGCACCCTGATAAACCACACCCCCGATATGTGTCTCGGTATTTGTCCTCGGTTCACATGGAAGGCTTTATCTCCGTGCTCCAGGACCTTCCAGCAATATTGCCTCGCCTCATACGCATGAACCTTTCCGTACGGGGCGACTTCACTCCAGCAACCCCACTAGAGTATCCCGAGCAGATCCCCGAGCTTGATGAGTGGGCTTTTGATTCCAGCGAGACACTGCTACAGCTGATTGATCGAACAGTTTTAAATTTACATAATTTACTGGATTGCCATGTGGAACTGCCGCAGATCTACTACCGCGCACGCAGATTTAAGGAACTGGGAGTAGGCCTCAACTATGATGATCGTCAAATGAGCAAACTATGGCGAGATATTCCAAATCAAACTAATTCGAAAGACGACGGAGAAGTACGACCACCTCTCAATGGATATTGGATATACGCAGGAGATGGTATTGAGCATCCTAATGATATACTTTTTAGGATGTTTAACCGTTGGTTTTAGCACAAGGTTCGGTTTTCTATTGAAGCCATTATCATACTATGGCGACGACTCGGTGGTCGTCTTGGTGGCAGCGGCCGATAAGTCTCCATTATCAACTGCGACGCAAACATAGAAGTTGAGTGGGAGGTTATCGCATTTACTTGTCCCAACCGCTGGATTCCAACCTAGAAATTGAATTTCGGTTATTCCGTTGAAGTTTGCAATAGACAAACAAGTGTCGTGACTAAGTGAGAATCCAGCATCAGTGCGCGAATTACCGGATAAGTCATGCCGAGCTTTACTTACACTCCAACAAGCCATAATTTGCTGCAGTTCGTTGCAATTCCACTTTGGGTTGGTGTTTCTGGCCATTCCGTGGTTGAACCGGCTTCCGTGCGTGTAGTTGGTGTGCCAGGAATGCTCACACAATACCATTTCCCATCAACGAGGCCGGAACAATCTGATTGAATGCTTGGGTTCCAGTTACTGAATTCTGTTTGTGAGAAAGTGCCAAATAAGCCGACAATCTCCTCACACGTCTCGCCGTTGCGCTTATACCAGCTTTTACACTCTGGGTTTTGTCCAGGAGGAAGGCCAGTTGGTGCTATTGTGACGGTAGGCGGCAATGCTGTGATACCTTTGGGGCCAACCACGCAGTACCAATAGCCGGCCCAGAGGCCGTCGCAGTTGTTGTTCAGAGCGGGGTTCCATTTGAAGAAATCTTCCTTTGTCACGTAATGTCCATCGACAATATCTCGACAGGTGGTCCCCTTGAAATATCAGTTTTACACTGAACCATATGGAGCATTTGGAAGGTCTGCGGGCAAGAGGAAAATGGAAAGGTGCCTTACAGGTTTTGAGTAATAGAATGATAAACAGCCAGGAACGATGCCTGATTGAGTGGGTGATGCCGTGAAGCTTGAATTGACGGATGGAAACGGCGTCGGTGTGTACTCTCCTGTCAGCGTTGGAACATCTGCTGGGGTATCGGCGGTGATCCAAGTAAAGGTCTCTGTTGTTCGGGGCCGGACCATGACACATACCCACCACCCAACGAAAAGTCCAGAGCAATCCACGCCTAGCGTCGGATTCCACTCGAGACTATATGGTCCCCATGAGCGAATGCCTGAAGAGGAGGTTTGGAGTAAGTCCTAGCTGGCACTTACAGTTTTTCCTTGGTCAGCCACGAGCTGCTGCCTGCGATATTGTCGCATGTATCTGCAGTAGACACTAAATGCCAGTCCGTGCAGTCCACAGGTTGCCCAGGTTGGGTTCTCTTGGGAGGAAAAGCGGTTTCAGTGGTTGTGGCGGTGATATTCCAATCCGTAATAGGGTAGCGAGTTGAGTATGGCTCCGTGTTTGAAGGCTCAGCGCTGCTGCTGCTTCCGCGGGTGGTGGTGGTGGTGGTTATACTGATGCTCGAAGAGGAAGAAGGCAGCTCAGTTGAGCCAGTGGTCACCATCGAGGAGGGTATATCGCCTACTCCAACACAATATGCATAACCTCCCCAAAAGTTCGTTGCGCAGTCCGGTGACACATCAGGGTTCCACGCAAAGAAGTCATCAAGCGAGATACCGTATTTGGTTGAGATAGACCAGCAGGATTCGCCCGCTTCGACCGTGTGGAAGGCGTTGCAGTTTGGCGCGATGTTGGGCATCGTCGGCCCACCGGGCTGTGAGTCTTGCGATCTCACATAGTGGACTTCAAGAAGAAGAAGAATGGCTATGAGGAGTATGAGACGAATGGTAGTCAAGGAGGACATTGCGGCCGGCATCTCAATGAGCAGGTTCAAAGACTTGACCCTCAGACCGGAGCGAAAGGGAGAGAAGAGAGGAATTGAGTCCTGAGGGTGAACATGGCAAATGACAGACAAAAAGGAAATTAACATACCGACGCCGACCTTGCGTTGGAGACCAAAACCCTGCCAGGCGAAATACTGCCATAGGTAAGTCTCAGGGGCGGCGTTCTTCTGAGCCAGCCTAGCCGGCGATAATTGTTGGTTTCCTTGCCCCTTCAGGGGAAGCAAGTGCAAGTTCCGTGAACCGGGGATGAAAAATGGTGGTAAGTTTAGAACATTGCCATCAGCGATGGAGGGTTTGATATCTCCCGTCCATCCTAGACGCTCTAGCGCTAGCAGGGTTCAATTCAACAGGGGCATTTACCCTTGGCTAGAGCCAAGTTGCACAACAGAACTGATGAAGTAGCGCAGGGTCCAGCCGCTTGGAAACAAGGTCACCAGCTCGGCAACGTTGGCACCTGCTTGTCAATACCGTACCTGCATCGAAGATACTGGTACAAGCACTTTCGATCTAGCCAGGGGTTTCTAACCCTCGTCAGTGATACCATGCTGATATCCTAGTACGGGCAGAGACTGCGGAGATTATCGAATGTCTCCGTTCTAACCGGCTTTCTTTTCTCCATGGGCGGCGGATTTTTTGATTTGATGACCCCGTGCCTGTCCTCTCGTTGACTCGCGGTTGTTAGGGTCGTTGTCTTTGGCTCCTGTCATTGAATTGACCATCAAGTCCGATTCTATTTTGTCAGTTGAATTCACAAAGAATCCAGATAGGCGCAATGGCCCAATTAATCAGGAAATTGGGGAGCGTTGCCCTCCTTTACTTTAGCCTAATGCCCCTCCGACCAGTGTTCGCACTCAACACCCCAGAGAAAAAAGAGCAGTTCCGGCAGATGAAAGAGTTCGCTCTCTGGAATGGAACTGTGTTCACTACCGCTGGGAATGACGACTATACGTGCTCTGCGTCTAAACCATGCAAATTGGGATGTTGCGGTTCTGTGTAAGTGGACCCGTATTGGCAATTGGTGTCAAAGATTTCCATTATTGATAATTCTTTGCAACAGAGACAAAACTACAGGAAAAGGCGTTTGCGGTCTTGGGCCTGATTTTTGTGGCGACGGCTGCATCTCAACTTGCAATGAGAAGTCGGAATGCGATCCTGGCTGGGGAGCAGAATGGTCGCTTGCGTCAAACTGTCCCCTCAACGTGTGTTGCAGCCGCTTTGGTTTCTGTGGGACGACAGTAGACTTTTGCGAAGGCAAAATTGTGTCTTCGCCGCAATGCCCTGGAGGTAAGAGTGCGGATAAAAGACTGATTGGGTATTACGAGGGATGGAATTTGCAAAGGCCCTGTGGAAGTAAGTCAAGATAACCTAAGGTCTCGGATGCTAGCTCCATTTCTCATTGAGGCCCTTAGCCATGAAGCCTAGCGAGATCCCACTTGGCTGGTACACACATATCAACTTTGCTTTCGCCTTGGTCAACCCAAAGACATTCCGAATCGACCCCATGGATGCGAAAACTGCATCGCTGTACACGGAGGTAACTGGGCTGAAAAGACGCCAGCCGGGGCTGGAAGTTTGGATTGCTATTGGGGGTTGGGCAATGAATGACCCAGGCCCGTATCGAACTGCTTTCTCAGACATGGCAAAGTCTGAGGCAAATCAAGACGCCTTTTTCGAATCTTTAATCAGTTTCATGCAGAGAAACAACTTCGATGGCGTTGATATCGATTGGGAATACCCCGTTGCAGATGACCGCGGCGGCATTCCAGAGGACTTCGACAACGTGGTGACTATGTTAAGGCGACTTCGGCAGCGACTCAATGAGACGGGAAGAAAATATGGGTTGACTATTACACTGGTATGTCTATCGATTTATGGTGTAGTAGTCCCGACCGTTTTACTGATTGCTTCCAAGCCCGCGTCGTACTGGTACCTTCGGGGGTTCAACCTTGTCGAAATGGAACCTCATCTAGATTGGTTCAACATCATGACCTATGATATCCGTGAGTGCCATATGCCTCAAAACATCGCAACGCCGTTTTGCTAACACTAGGTTAATAGACGGCGTTTGGGACAGGAATGTGACTTCCATTGGACCCTACGCCTACGCGCATACCAATCTGACCGAAATCCAAATGGGTTTGGAACTCCTATGGCGCAATAATATAAACCCTGGTCGTGTGGTTATGGGCTTGGGCTTTTATGGGCGCAGCTTCACCATGAAAGATCCCAACTGCTTAGACCCCGGATGCGAATTCTCCGACGGTGCCCGCGGCGGTGAATGTACTGGCACACCAGGTGTACTTTCTGCGGCGGAGATCGTAGAGATTATCAAAAACGGTGCAAATGTGCGAACTGATGAGACGGCGGCCGTAAACATTGTAACGTGGGACACCAACCAATGGGTTAGCTGGGATAATGCGCATACCTTGAAGAAAAAGGTGGAATACGCGAATGCGCGTTGCTTAGGGGGGTAAGTGTCTTTTTTTCTCAGTGACTGGCCTTTTCACCACCGTTTTCAAAGCACCACAAGACATTAATGGTATTGATAGGACGATGGTTTGGGCAATTGACCTAGACGACGGCACGCTGTTGGATGCATTAGGTTCAGGACTTTCTAGGCCTAAAGACCCGGTTACCGGCGAACTTCGAAACGTAATATACGACTTCGAAACAGTGTGGCCGGAAGAGAAGCCGGCGTAAATGGAACGCTTGGACAACAAATTCATTATACGAAAGGGCCGAGATACGATTTGTATTAAGTGCAAGGATATAGAGCCTAGTAGAAATGGTATTGAATTGAATGTCCGTCTCAGTTTCTGGGGTGACATCTGTATCTTTTCTGACGTGCTAACTAGCTGCACAACTCTTGATGTCTGTATGACTATGATTTTAGAGATGGTTATCATGTAGGTATGGGAACCCATTCATCCATTGCCGAGGAAATTAACCGCATTTCACCAACCTTCTCTGCGGGTTGATAGTCAACTATTTTCTCTATCTCGCGATCAATCTACGGTGTAGAGGAGTTTAGAAATTCGCAAACACACTGTAGGTTCAGGCTACTCTGATACTGAGTAGTTTGCTGTGTTATGTACGTGAATTCGCTTAAGACAAAAGAGAATGCCCGCAAGAATAGCAACTAGCCACCCCTAAAACAGCCCAAATTGTCCCTCTGGTAGATTTTCTCAAAAAGCCTGCTCGATTTTCTTTGAAGAACTTTGGTCCATTTGGGCTTTGCTCTGCCGTACATATGGAACAAGCCTTCCACATCAAGCTTGCTCGGCTTATATACGGGCTTGATCTTATCGCCATTTGGCTTTTTCAACAAAATAGTCAAGTGCTCTTGGCTGCCGGTCTTTTTGCCACCGCAGTCGCTGGGGTCTTTGTGAAAAATGTCAGTTGTGTCAAAGAACAAATGGATGTAAAAGGATCTCACAAATCATGATGGAATCCCAATCTGGCACATTCCTATCCGGCCCTGTGGCAAATTGTAGCGGCAACCAGTTCATTGCGCCAGTGAATTCAAAAAGATTCGCCGTCGCCTGATCTTTGCACATTGCAAGGAGATTTTTCTTGATAGTCTCCGTGTTGCCCTTAGAACGCGCAATTACTCTTTCCTTAGCAGCCTCGTAATCGCTGAGGCTCTCGCACTCAAAATTGCCGTCTCCGAATAGGTGCTTGCCATTAATTATGCTACCGCCGTATAAAGAGTCCCACCATTTGGGGTTTTGGTGCTCATGGTGCATGCCCCAGGCGTGCTATAGGTGCAAGCAAAAGATGTATCTCAGTCATCTTGTTTATTGTAATGATAGCTTTAAAGGGTGAACCAGATTGGACTTACCCCCATTTCGTGCGCGAAATTGGCCACAACATTCTTCATCCCCATTTCCAACGAGTCAGACAGGGTCATAGACGGACCACTTTTATCGAAAGAGACGTCTGTTTTAAGAGTGGTACGTTTCCCGGGAGTTGTGCCCATTATCTCGACGTCATACCCGGCATAGATCACGAGCAGGAATTCTTTTCGCCGTGACTCATCATGGCACAATGGATCATTGACAGGCAAAAATTCAAACTCGAACCAGCCGTCATGATCATCGAGACCGGCGTCTCGCCAAAGTTTGCGCGCTCCCTCCAAACGGCCTCGTAAAATCTCTTCAGTAGTCTTCGTTACGCCTCCTTCGTGCGCGTGGCTTCTGGCTTGGAAACACACCTTGATATTTCCCCTCGGCCAAAGCTTATGGGAAGGGTCTGCCTCAATAATGTACCAGCGTTTCCCAAGGTGGTGATTTTGGACGGACCCAGTGCTGTTGTGTAGGTCCTCCGCGACCTTGGGTTCCCACGCACGATTTCCTGCTAGGACTCCGGTGATAGCGGAAAGCCAGCACAGGAAAACAAACTTGGCAAAGAAACAAGTAGCCATTCTTCCAAGGCAAGGAGAGGGCCGAGCTTTCCTAGGAGTGGTTTTGAGTTGAAATTTGGAGACACTGACAGAGGTAAAAAGGCGATGATGGTTCTCATTGTCCTCCCATCTATGCGCCTCTAACTTAATATCCGCGAGGGATCGTGGAGGGACGGAAAGGGTATGAGATTACGAACGGCTTGTAGTAGTATTGGAGCTGCAAGGCTATTGCAGCCGAACCAGGCTTGAATGCTTTCTAGCCTGGAAAACTAACAGCTAGTCGTACGTATTGCCATCAACCATGGACAGGCCAGTTGCTCCCTGCCCAACTGGGGGTGTAAATATGGTCTGACTGCATGGCTGGTCGCTCCCGATCAGGGGCGAGGCGGGTTCGCTGCATTCAGTAAGCTGCATTCAGTAAGCTAGGATACAGGGGGGATGATTAATCCTATCGGACGTTTTAAAAACACCGAAGTCCCAGTACAAATGTAGGTCTCAGAAAGTCCATGGGTGGTCCGCGCTTAAGGACAGGGACCAGCTTTCGAAGGGTGCGGGAGCGCTAACTTAATCTAACTAGCGCAGTGCCTGGGCTGTTAAGGGGCTACTCCCTAGCAGGTCCCAAAATTGAGGAACAGTTCACGCCCCAAGACCTCGTAATTTCGCGCTCGAAAAATAGAAGTCACCGGAGAAAAGGACGAAAGGAATCATGGGTATCAAGAGAGTCCCCCCGTTTTAGTTCTGAAAAATGCCAACGAGTTCGTTTTCTGTTGCGCATAGTTGTCGTCGGGATTTTCCGCTGCCTTCCAGTTCCTCTACACACTTTGCACCCCCATCTCTTGTTGTGTTCGGTTCAATGACATAGCACAGATGTTGTCACTCGTATCATCCAGTCGCTTTGGTATAGTCCTGAGTGTGCTTTTAGGCGTGACGCAGTCGCACGTTATTCCGCTGATAGACAATATCACGAACCACAGCGGGCTTCAACGACGCCAGGGAGATAAAAATCCCACACATTTCAACTGGGTCAAAAGTTTCGCCGCCATTGGAGATAGCTACTCGGCCGGAATTGGTTCTGGTGCGCATTTAGGGCAGATATGGCACAACCGTGACGACTGGAGGTGCTCGCGTTATGACCAGTCATACCCAATGATCATGAACAATTATTTGGGCACCGATGTTGAAAAATTCCAGTATCTTGCATGCAGCGGCGACAAGAGCTGGCAGATATATGACCAGGCAAAGAAGCTCGAGGGCAACATCGACTTGCTGACGCTGACGGCTGGGGGTAATGACTTGTGTCTGGCGGAAATCATCAAAGACTGCATCATGCTATCCTTCTACGGCGAGGCGACCTGCAACGCTATTCTGAAGAAAGCGCAGGGAAATCTCGATCTGATCATGCGCCACAACATCAAAGAAATCCTGCTCGCACTGAACGACAAAATGGCAGACGATGGTATTGTGGTTTTCAATAGTTATGCACGCTTTTTCAACACGGAGAACGAGGATTGCGCCCAGAAACAGGACTGGAGTTCCTTTGAGTGGGTTCGCTCTATATGGCTCAATCTGCAGCGGCCATTGCCGCTCACCGTTGCCCGCCGCAAACGCTTCAACGAGTTGACAACGGGCTTGAATGATGTCATCCACGACGTTATAAAGGAAGTGCAAAGCGAAGTCAAATATAACATCGGCTTTTCCAACTGGGACCGATGGGCAATCGAGGGTGTCAAAGGCCAAATGTGTGACCCATCCTCCAGCGGCGCCTACCCAGATCCTGACCAGCCTGACCTGATTTTCTTCAAGCCTGATACCCGTAAATCAGAATTCACGGTGTTTCCCTTTTCGAGCACCATTAAACGTAACATCAACGAAACAGTAGATTCAAACGATAGTGGACGTCAAAACCCGAGCCGTTTCAATGAAAAGCAGATTGGCGCTCTGGGCGGTCGCCTGAACCTTCCCCCACGAGATTTGGATGAGGACGGCGTAAACCGCGCCATCTACAAATCATCTCTGTGGAATTCTGTCAATCCTCGCGCGGCGGCATTGAAGAGATTGGACCCTCGCGCTCCTGACTTGCCCGGTTGTCCCGGGAATGACAATGGGCCGCTCCCCGGGTTAGGTGACTTCGTGCCCGATTTCTTCGGGCGTGTTTTTCATCCCAATGAAGAAGGGCATAACGCCATTGCTTCCTTTGCCATTGAAACCACAATGAATCTGCGAGCCAAGGTGCTGGGTGTAGAGCCCAAGATTTGCGAGGTCAAAGAACAATTCAAGTGTTGGCAAAAAGAGGGCATGAAGGGTTACGCAACGGCAGACGTGCTTGACATGAACTACAAGAAGTTCTGTGACGAAGTCAAGCCTCCCGGTGAGGGTGCGGTCGGATGGAAATTCACCAAGAAATATCAGGTTGGCACGCCAGACGAGCAAGAGTTTGAATACGAACTAGGAGATTTGGGCGACGGATTTAACAAGAACGAGTGCCTTGAGTCATTCAAACGAATAATCCACGGCTGTGATGGGAATGATCCTGAGAACCCTCTGAATTGGAAATTTGGCGGGACATGGAAGCGTGACCAGGACACGTATACAGTTACTCCCAAGCGAACGAACCGTCCCTGGCCGCTCAAAAAGCCATATGGCTCTTGTGAGGGTGAGAGTTTTATATCATTTAGCGGCTATGTGATCGCTGGTAAGTGACTCTCACTGACCGTTACCACCGTTTCCCGAGTCCCTTTTTGAGCGTCACGAGTTAACAAATATCGATAGGAGCTGGCTGGTCTAGCTGGGACGAAGGTCGAGAGTCATTGTTGCCGGCCATTAAAAGCTGTCTCGGCAAAGGTGTAACAACATGGACATTCAAATATCTCGACAAACCTGACGATGACGGCTATGAGTGGTATGTGGGATTCCACACACCTGTATTTGTTAACAACCGGTGTTTCAAGAATAACAAAGCGGTATTTGGCGCTAAGGGTTTCACCGATGGTTGTAAAGGGAGCGGCTGGGCCTGAGTGTGAGGGAGGTGTCTGTACCTTGTGTATCTGGTTGTAAAACAGGGCCTAAAGGCCAGCAATCCTTGGTGGCAGTCTGTAAGGCTGCAATTAAGTCGTAATATAAAACCCGCGTACGGATTCTCTTGACTCGGCGTGACAAACATAGGCTGCCTGTTCGGTGTGTACTAGTTGCATGACGAAGCAACTTCAATTCACATGTTCCCTAAACCGAAAGACTAGCATAATTGGCAGCTGGGCAAAGAAGACAGTTGTAACTTCAAAAAAGAAAATAGAAAACTGCCAGTTAGATTTCAATTCTGAGAGACGAGGATGTCGGATGTTGGAGGTGAGGTTGAATCAAGACAGTGGGGCTGACTAAGCAACTTCAAATAACTAGGCCTAAAGGGCTCAAGCGTAAAAAGCCAGAAGCCCAGACTTTGGACAGCGGCATGGCGGCTAACTGAGCCTGGAGAAGGCTAGTCTTACCTAATGTATAGACGGCAAATGTCCTCACCCAAGCCTCAGTTTAAAGCAGCCTGCCAACAGAGTATTTTGGGGAAATCCAGATTTCCTCTTGACCATAGCAGGTATTCTCATTAATGTCGAACAATTGATTCATTCTCTTACTTGAGGTGGAAGGCAATTTGCAGAAGCCCAGGGCAGTATTAGGAATCTGAAAACACTAGCAGTCTAGCCAGGAACCTCCACGATCTGACTCTACAGGCCTACGACTAAGCGCGTTCCCCTAAATAAAGCCTGCCAGAGAAGCGCGAGAAGGCAAAGTGCTATACCAGTGACCAGCACTTCTGGCAGCATTAGCAAATGGACTCGTCCAAGGCGGCATGAGACCTCTCACCTTGATGCTCCTTCACGAGTATTCGACACCTCCTGAACCGCCAATATAGTTCCGAGCAACCGCCGCAGCTCGAACCCACAACGACCACGCACCCGCCCTCGCCAGGCCCGCATTCCAGGTGTCGCCGCCTCTTCTCCATCGTCAGCTTGACATCTCCTTTGCAAAACGTCTCGTCCGTGCGCAATTCGCATTTCTTCCAGGGGATCGGCAGACGGAGGGAGAGCCGTTCGATGATCCAATTCACTCTGGACTGCACGTTGGTTGTGACGAGGGAGTAGAAGTAGCGGTTTGTGTGTTTGAGGGCCAAGGCGTCGGGGTATGGGAGATACGAAATAATGTGGAGGTGCATTTCCGGGGGGAGGTCCATGAACCTCTGGTCCATTCCCTCCGATGCTGGAACCTGACGGGGACCTTTGGCCTTTGGGCAAAGCATTCTAGATCTGTGATGCCGGACTGAACTTGGTAGAGAGGGCAGGATGTCAGTCGATCGGTTGGCTGGCTGGGTCATGAGACAGTAGAAGGTTGAAAACTCCAGATCAATTCCCTACGCCGATATAGCTGCTTTTAAAGACATTCCCTTGAATGTGGACACCTGGTCTTCGATGTAGTTATCGTGTTGCCTGTGCTAGTGAGCCGAAACGAGAAGCGCAAAGCCACCCCATCATCATATTAGGTTCACTCCAGGCTGAGGCTGTGCAATTTTCGCAGGCGGGAATTGCTTGGGACTGTTTTCATCTCATCATCCCAGAACTCCATGGTCGGAATTTTCACCTGTGCGTTGGGATCGTCTTCGAACCCGAGTTACTCTTGAACGCTTTTTACACTGTTTCTCTCTTTTTTCTCATCTATGCCATCCCACCTCAATAATAGGCAACTTCGCCATTGAAACCCTCGCATCAACTTTAGTCTTCGACAAAAGTACTTTTCCCATGTCTCTCTCGAAATAAATCGCATCTACTCCGTCCTATAACTCAGGTGGGTTCCTTTGCGTGAGATCCATTTAGAACCCCGACGGCTGCACAATGTTGACAACCAGGGGGTAATTGAGCTCCCGATCTATCATCCATTGTCTTTGCTGTCCTAGGCCGGAAGCGCGGTTCACCCAGTACCCTTACAGCTAATAATCTTTTGGGGTATGGTTTGCGGATATAGTTAGATAGTGATGCTTCCTACAAAGGACGAAACCAGATACTTGAAATTTGTAGGCAGATACATATAGAACACCATGATACTTTCTTATTAAACCTGTCTCCATTGCTCTTTAGCTTTGTCTTTTTCTTTCTTTCTTTGAGCTAGTTAACCAACTAACTAGCAGCTTCCACCACAAGTCTTTGCTGTCTCCTAATCTTTGAGCCTATCCAAGAAATAACCCATTAACATTTTACTGAAGACCTTCTCTCAACAAAACGTTTTCTACGTCGAGGGCCTTACCAAAGCCCTACAAGGAGACATCCTTTGAACAACTCCGCGCAGAAGCTGGGGAAGTTTTGTCATTCATACAATAGAGAAGGCTAGCAAAGGTCTTGGGAGGAAAAAAAGGCAATCTTGAAACGCAATTGTGCGTGTGTGTGTGGAGTAGGGCCTACAGATGTTTTATAATATCGTCAACTCGATTATGCTTGGATCCAGTAACTTAGATTAGTACGAAGACCTCAAAATTCATAGGGGTAACTGTGAAGACCGCACTTCACCAACAACAACAAAAGCTACCCAAAAGGTTACCATATGGTATGTGGTTGATTAATGTCCCGACAACAGGACCTGGGCAGAGTGGAATTTCATATAGGGCGTGCAAGCCAGGGCCGCCCACCCAGCAAGCCTACGACCGGCCCAGTATTGAATAGGTCAAGGGAAAAATGTTATTATGCTGCCTTTGGACCCATTGACTAAATTTGCACAACAGCAGCTGCAGCTTTCCTTGCTAAAGTGATCCATCCGTGTCTCGGAGGAGAACCGTACAGCCTTTGTAAAGAAGGCAAAAAAAAAAAAAAAAAAAAAAAAAAGACACACACATATGTACCTTTCCACATCTCTTTTGGTAGTCAAACATGGACAACGCTCTAGTAAGCATATGTACAAGGGTCCTTTGTTGTCAGTCAGGTAATTTATGGGAGCTGCAAACAATCTCATTGAAAGAGTCAACGGCTTACAGCTTCCTACACCTTCTCCGGAAGATCGAAGAATTCAGAAGCTCCATTTCTTGTCAATTCGATCTTGTCATTCAGGAAAGGTTCAGGGAGAATGGCTTGTCTCACTGTATGAGAAGGCTTTGTAGGCATTCTAGAGATCCCGAACATAAAAAGCTGCAATCCATATGTATTTGGTCTCTTGTCTGAAAACGGCCACCACATCATACCTTCAATGCTGTATCTTGCAGACCAAATTGCAGACCAAATTGCAGACCAAATTGCAGACCAAATTGCAGACCAAATATCGGCTAAAGCTCACGTTCAGTGCAAATCCAAGCTAGAGCTCGACATGAGCCCCATAGACGACATGGTACGTCTCTATTCGAAACCGGGATTTCTCTGCTTCTAACATCAATAGTACGAGATCGCCTATTATAAGACGGGGTTATCGTCCCACGTTCGTAGCAACCCGCATCAGAGCCTCATGCAAAGCATCCAGAACGACCAAATACTCGAATACCCTGAAAAAATGTGCATCGGCAATAGGGAGGCATTTCAAATGAAGGATAGGCTTGATCAGGCGCTCGGGAGGCTTGACGAATTCGACGAGGAGTTTCGAACGACCAAGGCCAGGTTTGAAGCTAACGATGAGGAGCTTCGAACGACCAAGGCCAGGCTTGAAGCTAACGATGAGGAGCTTCGAACGACCACGGCCAGGCTTGAGGAGCTTGAAAAAAGGGATCGGGAACAAGAGGATGCACTCATTCTACTCCGCATGAGAGCATGCGAGGATAGGTATGCCGTCCAACGCAATCATCAAGCGGATCGATCGGTTAAACAAGGCGGGAATCGAGTCGCACACGGGGGAAATATTGTTTTCGACTTGAAAGCAATCGAGTACGCTTGTAGAACTGGGGCAAACCACTGCCAGGACTACAAGACTGATTTTGGCGCGGTTTATTGGATACCGTTTGATCGAGCAGTGACCTCGATTAAAACCTTTCCAAGGGAACTGATCAGAATCTGCAATACTGTGGCTTCAGTTGAAGAGTTGTATCAATATCGAAACAGCAAATATCAGACCGATCGCAACGCAGCAATCAATTTCGGAGCCGGTATTATTCAAGATGCACTGCAAGCCATTGACAGCGGCGATCTATCACCTTTTCGAGACGGTGCTGGGCTGGCTGCCAAAGTCCAGCAATTCGATGTGATGGTGAATAATCTTTGATCCATTAAACAGAATGACCAGAGCAACCGTAGTGGTTGGGTATGTTTGTCTTAGCATCAAGACCATGAGGAATGCGAGGCTGACTAAGGAACAACAGGTGCGTGAAGGTCCTCACCAGGTTACCCTAGGCTGTAGCGAATAAATGGCAGGGCGGTTAGAATAGAGATTTTGCATGTTAGATTCAAAAAATTGCATTTGAAGATGAAAATATGGAGCAGTTTGGAAACTTAGTCAGCTCCAGAGTACATACAAGAATTGTATCTTCTGAGCTGTGCAAAATATTTGCCATTGGTACTAAGGTACTCCGTAGCTGGGCTAACTAGTTAACTATCTAGTTAACTACTTTTGATATTGTTAGGTAATCCGGCTACCTAAAGTTTTTGTGTCACACAGTACATACAGAGTACATAGCTTTAGTTGCTAGCTTGGGATAATGACAAAATAACTCAACTAGCTGGAGATTTCACAAATTTGATAAACCAAGTTCAGAGACAGAATTGACTGAGCAAAACAGTGGGTGTGACAAAGCAGACCCAGTCATCAAGAAATTGATGGATTCAAGCTAACAGCTTGGCTGCTTAATGACAATCCAAAACAAACTTATAGTGAACTCCCTCTGATTTCTCATTTCGCCAACTGTTGGTTCAGCGGAAATCCTTTGTTCTCTATAACTTTGTATATTTCACTCGCAGCCCAGACTTTGATGGAAACTTTAGCTAACATGAACATTATTTACCTTCATTGCAGATATCTAGTCACTTATCCTGCTCCTTCTTTGCCTTCCCCCTAGCGTCGTATTGCAAGCTAAATGGACAAACCATGGATCCCTTCCATTCTAAAGCCCAATTTTACATGGCCATGTCCAATGCAGTCGACCATCTCCAAGACGACCCCCCCAATACCTCACGTGCCGGGCACAATTTCCCGTCGCATTTGGGGCTTTGTTCACAGGGCTCTATATTGGTTTTCGCAACCATATTGCAGGTGGTTTGATGTCCCATTTGATGGCAACATTGCCCAATTACCTTTCGGACTCTTGATAAAATGGAACGATCGTACCAGCTTAGAGGAGGCTATCGCGATGCAAATGGCACGGGCCGCTGGTATGCCCGTTCCCAAGCTGCTAAGCTGCGCAGATCACCCCGGCCCATTTAAGTTCTCTATTCTTATGACAAGACTACCTGGATTCTCCCTAAATAACTCGAGTGATATGTTTTGAACCGGAGGAGGGTGCATGGGTCCATGAATTAAAGAAATGCGTGCATGCGATGCGTTGTTGGCAGCCAACCTTTGGCGGTGAGCGTATATGTTCGGCAATCGGAACACTCATTCGAAGCACACGGGTCCCCGACCATAAAATGGGTCCATTTGAAAATGAGAAAGAAATGTGTGAATACCTTTTAGCACCAGCCTCCATGCACACTTTCAAAACAAGAGAGGAATACAATGCAGTAGTCCAACGAGCAGAGGAACTTCAAGAGCGACCTCATCAAATAACTTTCACACATGGGGATTTTAAAGCCCATAATATCCTTGTTGACGAAGATGGCCATCTGGCTGGATTTCTTGACTGGGAATCAGCTGGCTGGTGTCCTGAGTACTGGGAATTTACTACAGCAATGAGGTTTGGGAGGTATTCATGGTGGTACCAGATTGCCTCGTGGATGGGAGGAGATCACTATTCCAAAGAGCTAGATTCCGACATTGCTTTGAATTCGATCACTGTGGACTCATACATAGGCTTTTAGCTAGAAAGGACGACAAGTTAAAATATATGTGACCATCTTTGCCTAGGGAATCCCATACTCTGTTACTCACACGATAAAACAGTGAGGTATTACACGCTTGGAAGTATCCAGGACTGTGGATATATGTTCCTCCATTGATATTTAGTGAGTGACCATTTGTACTAACTAAATATGATGAAAATATCTGAAGGAAAGGTCTTCTATATTGTATCCTCAGTCGAGCCTCGCAAGTCTTGCTCTGATTGGCTGGTTGGCTGTTGGTTGGGGCCTTTCCTGTTTGGGTTTAATCCAAAGCCTCACGCATCCCATCAGCTGGAGGCTTCAACGGAGACGAACAACACCCGTCAACTGCCACAGCGAAACAACCTACTTCTATGGAGATTCATGATCCAACATCTATCCCAGCCAATACCCCGTATATGAGTTGGGTTTAAGATCAACTCGGAGTAATTCCATATTTAGGTTTAACTAAGTTAGCCCAGCCCAGATAGCAGCCCCGAAGTTGCCCGCTTCAAACTTTCCAACGCCCTCTCACACATACAGAAAATGAGCGACTCTCAAGCCAAAAAGTCCGCCTACGGCACCCCTTCCTCCGACACTGCCTTCCGCAAAACCTGGGATCGCGAAGCCTACGCCGAGAAAGCCGCTGCTGACGAAGCCAAGGCCAAAGCCGAGTCCAAAGCTCGCTATGAAGCAAAGCTTCTGGGCAAGAAGTACTACGCGCCCGTCGACTATAGCACCCTCGAAGCCACGACTTCTCGCGCAAGGAGACTCGATGTTGCTTCGCTAGTAGGGAAAACGACTATTGTGCCGGCAGGGGCTGCGGTTGGGAAACGGGGTCGTGGGGCTGGGTTCTACTGCGCCGATTGCGATCTGACGTTTAAGGATAATATACAATTGGTGGAACATCTAAATAGCAAACAACATTTGATTGCGACTGGCCAGAGTGGTGAGGTCGTGAGAGCAGGTGTTGAGGATGTTAGACAGAGACTGAGGTGGCTCTCGCATAAACGAAGAATGGACGCGGAAGAGGAAAAGAAAGCAGGCGAACTCGATCTCAATCAGCGTCTCAAGACTAGAGAAGAGGAAGAGGAGAAAGAAAGAGAAGAGCGAAGGAGGAAGCGGAATGAAAAGCGACGGAAAAATGGCAAAGAGGGGCAAAATGGTATTAAACAAGAAGATTCCTGGGAAGGCCGGCTCGGTGTTATAGCCTGAATGACTTCAACCCTACGCGCGACCCGAAAAACGCGATCCTTCAAGCTATATTACGATAAAGAGAGTATTATAAATTCGAGCGCTAAAACTGCGTTATCAGCAAACGAGAAGCGCTTCAGCGCCGAGCGATCTCAATCGATGCAGTCGATTTTCTCGAGCACACCGATCGCTCGCCCGCCTTCTCTTTCAAAAAGGCTAACCAACATTTCACATTCGGTGCGGAGCTTTGCCTCTCCTTTTTTAGCATTCCAGGCTATCCATTCTTCGATGCTCATACGTTTCTCAGGGCTGGTTAAGTCACACTGCGCGGCGTGAAGCATGTCATTCAAATCTACATTCTCTTTATTCGCAGAGGCAGACTGCATCAAATCATCGAAGTCGACTGGATTCCACGGATCAGGTGTGCCAGACATATCGAC